TCCCATAAGCCAAAACCAGGTGGAAATACATGATTATAGAAATGGGTTAACAATTAAGACAGAGATAGCCAATAAGAAGCCCAACCACCAGCCAACGGTTGTATACCTAATATACCATCTGTGTATTCATTTAGGACTAAAGGGTGGCAGAGTCAAACAGGATGAGGAACATATATATATATATATATATATATATATATATATATATATATATATATATATAGATATAGAGAGAGAAGAGATTGAGAGAGAGAGAATGTGTTTATAAACCTTAAGTGTTGAACATCAAAAATTTAAAATCTGTTCTATGATATGCTTCAAAATTCACCAAGTTTTGAGTGCTACATATACCCAAAGTGTCATTGAGAGCAATCTGGATTCCTGAATTTCCATAGTTCAGGTGGACACTTGCCTTAAACTGTGTGGAAGAAGAATACAGTTCAGAACAAGGAGCTACAAAGGATTTTGCTGTTTGGTTGTTTTTGAGGTAGAGTCTTACTAAGCAATTCTCAGAATGGCCCGGAACTCACTCTAGAAGAGGCTGGACTCACACTCACAGAGATCCTCCTGCTTCTGCACCCCAACTGCTAGAATTAAAGGGATGTGCTACCATATCTTAAAAAATAAGTAAGTCTATCATTACAAGCAGTTATGTTACCCAAAAAATTTTCTCTAGAAATATAAGTAAAAGCAGTGCCTATACTTCACAAATGTCTACTCACAGAATATTTTAAAGGTAAAGTGAGATGAAAAGATAACATATGGGAGAATTTAGAGTAATGAAAATGTTTAAATACTATGCTTCCTCCTCCTCCCCCTGGAAGGAAAGGTGAGGTTCTGAAGAGACCCTCCAACACAGTTGGAGGAGAGAGAATAGCTCCTTTCAGTGAAGGTCAGCACAGTATATAGGGACCATATGGGGAGTGCTCTGGAATAATTAAAACAGCAGTTGTATGTACAAGGTCCTTTTGTGCACCAGGAATATATCCTGGTTCCACTGCCTGAGGTCCCTTAGACTGTGCAGTCCTTCTAGCTGAGACCCATATTCCCATGGAGGGCACTCCCTTATCCTAGAGACAGGAAAGAAATCCTAGTCCCTACTTCAAATGACTTGACAGATTTACATGACCCCACCTGGATGGCATTGCCCTACATGTGGAATTGGGGTAGGGGGATGGGAGGGGAGGGTGGCCAGTGTACATGTGAACAGGGAGAGAGTGTAAGAGGTAGGGAGGGAGGGGAGGGAGGGAGGAGGGAGGGAACTGGGATAGACATCTAAAAGAAAATAATAGTGACAATGATAATAACAGCAGTCTTAAATGCAGATCAAATTAGCTGAATCATAAGTCAGAATCACATTCCGCAGCTCTCATCGTGTTATCCTACTGTCTGTCAGCTTATGTCTAATATGTGCCCTGAACACTACACAGATTTCAACAGAGCATGGTGTTTTTGAAGCTTTTCAACAAATTAGATGTTTATTAAAATAACAGCATAAGGTGCATATATAAATATTCACACCTTGAATTCCCCCAGCTTTACACCTATGTAAAGAATTCTGATATTTTCAAGGTTTTCTTTTTAAATTTGCGTGTGTGTGTGTGTGTGTGTGTGTGTGTGTGTGTGTGTGTTTCTTTCTTTCTTCCTCTTATTCTTTCTTTCTACCTTTCTATCAACATGGGGGTCATGTCCATGCAAGGTACAGTGACCAATGAGGCCAGAGGCATTGGATCCTCTAAAGATGAAGATTACATGGACCTTGAGCTATTCAATATGTGTGCTAGGAACTGAACTCAGGTCCTCTGCAACAGCAATATGTGCTTTTAAAAGCTGAGTCACCTGTTCATCCCAAAAACAGTTCTGATTTTTAAAATATGAAGGTCATAAGTTTGAGTGGAATGGTGCTTATTTTTATATGTGCAATGTGGAAGGCAGGCTACAAGCTCTAGAGAAATTTTACCTGGGTAAATATCACAACTCTCAAGATGTATTTTACATAAAACCCAAACAAAAAAACAACAGAACCACACACAATGCCAAACTATTATCTACTGTATATAGCCACACAAGTTAAGCAAAGGATGCTGGTGCTATTGAGGAGTCAGTAGGATTGACAGAGGATGATGCTTTTTGTGCTTCTTTGTCATTTTTTTGTGTTGCATTTTATTTTGTTTTCTGAAATGGTTTCATTATGTACCCCTAGCTAGCCTGGAAGTGGGTATGCATACCCAATTGCCTGAAAATGAAAATGATTGCCCTGTTTGACTCAGAGTACGATTCAAATGTGCCTGACACCATAGACAGATATTTTTGGAAATTTGTGACCATATACTTCCCAATAATCCAACTTTGAAGGTGATGTTAGATGTCACTCTGTAAATATGTAAATATGTAAATATGTTTCTCATACTGGTTAATGAATAAAGTATTGTTGGTCAATAGGAAAGCAAGACAGGTAGTACTAGGAGACAAGGAGGATTCCAGGAAGGAGTAAGGAGGAGTCAGCATGGAGAGACTGGGGAGACCAGACGCCGGCCCCATTCCCCGGTAAGATGAAACCACTTGGAAATACTTAGATTAACAGAAATGGGTTAATACTTAAGACAGAGCTAGCCAATAAGAAACTAGTATCTGGCCAACAGCATTATATCAAATATAGAGTTTCTGTGTGTTATTTGAGGCTAGTGTGGTGGTGGGCCCAGGTACCAGGGGGTGGGGGGAACTACTACATACATGAAGGTTTGCAACGTGAAAGTGCTTGATTTAAGTCAGAGCCACATAGGTCATGGCCAACCATGAAATGTTCTAGTCACACAGTTTGGGAGGTTTTATTTTGTTTTGATTTTTAGTTTTTTGAAAGAGCATCTCTCTCCGTGTAGCTCTGGCTATCCTGGAAATCACTCTGTAGACCAGGCTAGACACAAAATCAGAGATCTGCATGTCTTTGCCTCCCACGTGCTAGGACTAAAGCCATACACCAACACTGCCCAACTAAAAGTCAGATTATAAAAGTAAACAAATTCATAAAATACTGTGAAGAATCAGAAATTACTTTTGAATTCTTCAAGTTAAAGACTCAAATATTACCATGCATTCAATATGTAATCCGGATGACTGAGACCCCTATCATTTTACAAATTAATCATTCCCAATTGTGATTATGCTTCCAAAGGTAAAAAAAAAAAAAAATCACCAAAATCAGCAACAAGTGGAACTTAAACACCAGGGAATTCCTGTTTCAAGTACAGTAAATGTTATAGAGTGTGTACCATCCCAATAAATGGTCTACAGAGACGATCAAAGCATGGTTGACCCATCATAGTGACATCATCTATATATTTGTCCCACTCCAAGCATTGTTACTACTTGAAGTCTTCAATATTTGCAGTGTAAGATATATTTACATTTTAGTGAAATATGACTCTCAAAATGATTGCTGATGTCCATAGGTAGTTGAAGGTATATACTACCCATGAAGATTTCTCTTTAATTCCACTTCAACTGGAAAGCGCAATGCAAATGATTAGCTCTTTGGAAGTCATTAAAATGCTAACTTAATAAATCACCAGCAGAGGTACTAAATACATCTTTGAAGGGCTAAGCTCCCTGGGATTATTACAGTCATCAAACTCTAGACCTTTCCTTAACTTTTAAATCAATACTTTGAAATTTGCTACATAATTAAAATAACCATTCAAAAATTCTTAAAGTATTGTTAATATGTAGTCACAATGCTATTCCACTTAAATACTTCTCATTCATTCTCCCCAAAAATAACTAATGGTACCTTATTAATAGCACTGTGCCTTTAAAGGACCTGCCACGACATTTCACTGAGAAAGTGAGATATCAGTCATTTTCATTAATGCTAATAAGCCAAAACCCAGAGTTAATGAAACAATTTCAAATAAAATCATCACTACAAAATCCTAAATACTGTTGGGTGAAAATGTTAATTTAAACTAAACTAAACTATTATATACAATATATATGGATACATGATATGTATTTAAAATATGGGTTAAAAAAAAACACTACCTCTGGCAAATGCTGTCTTTATACAATCAGGTGAATATCCTGCTTTAGTTAGTCTGCAAACAAAGAACAAATATATCTATGTTACTCATCAGAAAGAAACACCACACTTTAGGCAAAGGCCAATTCCAAAGCAGTTCCAATCTCAAAATCTGCTGAAAAAAAAAAACAAAAAACAAAACAAAAACAAAACACAAAAAACCAAAAAAAAACAAAAAAAAAAAAAAACAAAACAACCACTGATCTTCCCAGATCCATTTCTACAGTTCCACATTTCTTATGGAGGTCTGGCTTCTTCTTAGAGGTGTTCGTGTTTACAACTGGATGTTTCTATAAATTGTACTTTGTTGAGTGCTATCTTACAGAGTATACATACATTCATGAAGTAGAACATACTAGATACACTAGTAGAAATGTGTCATTTTATGACTAAGGAAACTGAGGCAGGGGCTTTAACTGACTCTGAAAGGAAAAGAACTGCTCTGAGTTACCCACACTTCCCCTTGTAAAATTTAAAATTCCACTAAATGAGGAGACTATTGCATTTCTAAAGTTTGTATCTTTAAGTTTTACATTTTTAAACAAGTGCTACTTAATTCCTGTTTCTTAGACTTGAAATAGAACAGCTTTATTTACTTAGGAATGAAGTACTCTAAGAAAGCATCACAGTGTCAGAAAGGCATCCTTTTTTTTGCCCACTCTTGTTTTTTTCTACACTCATCATTCTGTAATGTTTTTACCTGACACTTTTAATAGTGTGACTTGTAAAAACATCTTGAATTGTCCCTGAAGTAACCAAAGAAAAGTATTTCACACAAATTAAACTTCATAGTACTAAAACTGAACAGATATTTTACAACATTATGAAATTTACTACATTTTTAAAAAAAATTATATTTATAAAGCATTACACAATGAAGAAACTATTTCAAATAAAGTATTCTTATGAATACTTACTTTTGTCTCATCAGAGCATTTTTTCTCTTTAATTCATTGATGTTTCTTTCCAAAGCATGAGCTTCCAGCTTGAAGAAAATAATAGATTTTGAAACTATATCTATAAAATCTCAAATGTCTAGAGCATGATGGCATATAACTTCACAACTAAAAACAGGTTAAGAATCTGCACTTATCTTTTTTTCACCCACATCACCATGCCTATTCCAGTGACCCCCATCTCCTGACCTCTGCTAGAGTGCCAGGCCTCTCCCAGAATGCCTATCCATGCAGGACCACCCTGAGTCCCTGCCTACCTGATCTTTGGCCCCCCATCACCGGGACTCTGCTGGAGGTGAATTTGGGACCAGTTCAGGTCCAATCCCTCCCATACACTTCCCTGGAAACTTCCTGGGTAGCCCTGAATGTAGCTCCCACCTACATCCAGTAGCCATCAAGAACACTCCTAGAACTCTGATCCACAAAACCACCCACCCAGAATCTGCCCTCACCCCAACCTGTGCCCTAACTAGACCACTGTACCACTCCTCTCATTGAGCACTGGACCACAGAGCAGGTCCAACAATCCCGCCACCTTCAGGGAACTTCCTGGATCTATTCTGAGCACACTAAACCACATCAAGTCCTCTCCTGCATAATCTTTGAACCCCATCGCCTGGCCTCTGCCTGATACCTTAATAGCCAGGCCTCTGCCGGAGACCAGACTATCCATGCTGGACAACTGAGTCCCTGCCTACCTGATCATTGACCCCAATTGCCAGGCCCCCTGTCTGACAGGTAAGCTCCTAGAGAGTTTGGACCACCCAGAGATACAGACATCGAACTCCTGACACACTTAAGCCCCCTAGGGGAGTAGCATAAACAGGAGAGAAATCCCACATGTACCCATTGGAAGAAGTGAAGGTAAGGTGACAATACAAGAAAACACCTAACAATAGAAAGACAAGAAGGAAGTCATCAGAATCTAGGGAATCTACACCAACTACTAGACCTGAAGACATGAAAGCAGATGAAGCAGAAGAGGAGGACTTAGAAAATATCGTCATAAAAATGACAGAGGCACTCAGAAACTGTATGAGAAAATCCCTTAGAGAAATGAAAGGAAAAACATACAAAAAAAATGGACAAAATGAACAAATTTCTTAAAGAAAGTAAGAAAAGTCAAGAAAAAAACAAACAGATGAAGGAAATAATTCCAACAGTTCAAAACCTGAAAACTGAAATAGAGACAATCAAGAAAACACAATCTGAGGGAATGCTGGAAACAGAAAAATTGCACAAATGATAAGCATATGCAAGCATAACCAACAAAAACCAAGAGATATAAGAGAGAATCTTGGGCACTGAAGGTAAACAGGAGGAAACGATTCATTGACCAAAGAAAATCTTAACTCCAACAATTCCTTAACAGAAAACACCCAAGAAATTTTGGACACTGTGAAAAGGCCAACCCTATCAATAATATGTATAGAAGAACTTGAAAAAGCCAAGCTCAAAGGGGTAGAAAATCATGTTCAACAAAATCATTGAAGAAAACTTACCCAAGTTGCAAAGGATATGTCCATGAAAATACAAGAAGCATATCGAACAACAAATAAACTGGACCAAGGAAAACGAACCCCTCGACACATATAATCAAACATATGAATGAAGAAAGAATTTTAAGAGCAGCAAAGAAAAAAGACCAGGTAACATATAAAGGCAGACCAGTCAAAAATACACTGGACTTTTCCATGGAAACTCTCAAGGACCGTAGATCCTGGATATGTGGTTCTAAAAGTGCTAAAAGTCCATGGATGCCACCCCAGGATACTATGCCAGCAAAACTCCCAATCACTATAGACAGAAAAAAAGAACCAGCCAGATTTTCACAATACATATCTACATATCCAGGCCTACAGAAACTTCTGTAAAGAAAACTCCAACTCAAGGAGGTTATCTAGGCTTATGAAGTCATAGGAAATAGATGATCCAAATTCATCAGAGCCCAACTTAAAAACAGGGTAAATATATTCAGAATACCATGGCCAAAAAAATATCTAAAGCAAACAAGCATTAACAATCAATGGTCCTTACTTTCCCTCAACATTAATGGTCTTAAATCACATATAAAATGACACAGGCTAAAAGAATCTATAGCAGGACAGAATCCATCCTTCTGCTGAATACAAGAAACACAGATAAGCTTCAAAAGCAAACATTAACCCATAGCAAAGGGTAGTGAAAAGAACTTCCAATCAAATGGACCAAGAAGCAAGCAGGTGTGTCTCTCCTAATATCTAATAAGTTAAATTTTTAACCAAAATCAATCAAAACAGATGAAGAAAGTAATTTCGTATTCATCGTAGAGAAACCCATCAGCACAAAATCTCAATTCTGGACATATATGTCCCAAATACAAAGGCACCCACATTTGTAAGAGAAGCACTACTAAAACTCAAAGTTTACATAAAACCTCACATACAGTGTGAGAATTCAACACCCCAATCTCACCACTAGACATTTCCACCAGACACAAACTTAACAAATAAACAAAAGAACTAACAGAAGTTATGTCTCAATTGGGTTTAGCAGTCATCTATAGAACATTCCAACCAAACGCAAAAGAATGTACCTTCCTCTCTGCTCCACATGGAACCTTACCTAAAATCTACCACATACTCGGCAGCATAACAAACCTCAACAGATACAAAAAATTGGAATAGTCCACTGTATTTTATCAGACCACCATGCTTTCAAACTGGAATTCAACAACAACACACCTCGCAGAAATCCTACAAATTCACAGAAACTGAATAAGGCACAATTGCACCTGGATCACAAAAGAAATAAGGAAAGAAATGGAGAACTTCCTAGAATTCAACAAGAATGAGGACACAACATATGCGAACTTATCGGACACCTTGAAAGTGTGCTATGAGGGAAGTTCATTGCGCTAAGTGCCCATATGAAGAAAACTGCGAATAGTCACATTAGAGAATTAACAGCAAAGCTGAAAGCCCTAGAACAAAAAGAAGCAAACTCACCCCAGAGGTATAGAAGCAAGGAAATAATTTGAGGGCTGAAATCAATAAAGTAGAATCCTGGAAAACAATACAAAAATCAATGCAATAAAGAGTTCACATTTTGAGGAAATGAACAAGATAGACAAATCTTTATCCAAACTAACACAAAAGCAGAGAGAGAATACACAAAATAACAAAATCAGAAACAAGAAAGGAGACATAACAACCGACACTGGGGAAATCCAGGCAATTTTCAGGTCATACTTTGAAGCCCTATGCTCCATAAAATTTAAAAACTCAAAGTAAATGGACAAATTTCTCAATAACTATCACTAACTAAAATTAAATCAAGAACAGATGAGCACCTTAAAAATACCTATAATCCCTACTGAAATAGAGGCAGTCATTGGAAGCCTCCCAACCAAAAAAGTCCAGGGCCAGATGGCTTCAGTGCTAAATTCTACCATGAATTCCAGCTAAAGCTAATAACATAACTCGACAAAATTTTTCACAGAATAGAAATAGAATGTTCATAACCAAGCTCCTTTTGCAAGGCCACAATTACGTTGGTAACTAAGCCAAGAGAAGACACAAAAAAGAGAACTACAGACCAATATCCCTCATGAATATTGATTCAATAAAGTACTGGAAAATTGAATCCAAGAACATATCAGAGAAATCATCCAACATGACTAAATAGGCTTCATCCCTGGGTTACAGGGACAGGTCAACATATGAAAATCTATCAATGTGTTCTACTATATAAACAAACTGAAAAAGAAAAACATTGTAATCATCTCACTGGATACTGAAAAAGCCTTTGAGAAAATCCAATACCTTTCATGATAGAGGTCTTGGAGAGATCAGGGATAACAGGAACATACCTAAATGAATAAAAGCAATATACAGTAAACCAACAGCCAACATCAAACAGAGTGGAGAGGAGATTAAGGCAATTCCTCTAAAATCAGGAACAAGACAAAGCTGCCCTCTTACTGTCAATATCTCTTCAATAATGTACTTGAAGTTCTAGTTAAAGCAATAAGACAACAAAAGGAGATCAAGAGGATACAAATTGGAAACAAACAAGTCAATCTGTCACTATTTGCAGATAATATGATAGTATACCAGGAAATTCCTACCACTGATAAACACCTTCAGCAAACTAGCAGGTTACAAGATAAACTCAAAAAAATCAGTAGCCCTACTTTATTCAGACGACAAAGAGGTAGAGAAAGAAATCAGAGAAACATCACCCTTTACAACAGCCACAAGCAACATAAAGTATCTTGGTGTAATGCTTACCAAACAAGTAAAAGACCTATATAATAAGAACTTTGTGGCTCTAAAGAAAGAAATTAAAGAAGATACCAGAAAATGGAAAGACAGCCCACAGACTGGGAAAAGATCTTCACCAATCATACATCTGAGAGAGGGTCGATCTCCAAATATACAAAGAACTCAAGAAACTAGTCACCAAACATCAAATAACCCTATTAAAAATGGCACACAGAACTGAAGAGAGAAATCTCAATTATGGAAATCAAAAAGGATTCAAGACTCTTAAGAAAGTACTCAACATCCTTAGCTACCAAGAAAATGCAAATGAAAACAATTTTGAGATAACATCTTTCCAGAAATACTAAAATTAGGAACACCATGACAACTTATGCTGGAGAGGATATGGAGAAACAGGATAACTCCTACACTGCTGGTGGGAGTGCAAACAAGTACAGCCATTTTATAGATCATTATGGTGATTCTAAGGAAAAATGGGAATCAGTCTATCACAGGACCCAGCAATCCCATACTTAGGCATATACCCAAATGATCCACATCCATGCAAAAAAGATATCTCTTTACTATATTCATAGCAGCATTATTTGTAATTGCAAGAATCTAGAAGCAACCTAGATGCCCCTCAACAGAAGAATAGATAAAGAGTATGTAGCACATTTACACAATGGATTACTACTCTGCCAGAAAGAAACAATGGGATATTGAACTTTGCAGGCAAGTGGATGGAACTTGGAGAAACCATCCTGAATGAGGTAACCCAGTAACAAAAAGAGGGACATGCTACATATTCACTTATATGGATTCTAGACATAGAGCAAAGGATCACTGGCTTATAATTTACAGTGCCAGTGATGAGACTAGGATACAAGACGTTTCTAAGAGATTCATACATGATCTCTCATGGGGGGGACAAGATCTCCTGAGAATATTCAGAGTGGTGGGGCAGTGAGTGCAGAGGGGACTAGGAGAAAGAGAAGGTCAGGAGAGGAAAGCACATGAGACTAGAAAGATTGAGTCATGGAAGGAATAGATGGGAAAAAGACAGAGAGAGAGAGAGAAATACCATAAAAGAGGGAGCCATTATAGGATTCTATAAAAATGATTATAGAGAAATGTACAGAGATGTACAAGTCTCATCCCATTTTACAATTTGAGCAACATTTGCTAGGCTACTATAAATGCCCTTTCCTGATAAGGAGATTGATGACTAACTTATGTACAATCATTTAGCCCTCATCTTGAAGCTGATAGAAATAGAAGAAGATACAAACAGCTAAACACTGTGCCAAACTGGAATCCAGATGCAGATGGAGAGGACAAAACCAGGCTATAGAAACATATAGAGACAACTGACCTAAACAAGGAGGAGCTAATGGGTCCCAGACTGATAGCTAGGAATCCAGCATTTGAACAACTCAGACTCCCTAAACATGGGTCTCAGAAGGCCTGGCCAGTCTAAGAGACCTCTGACTGTGGAACCAGGATGTATCCCTGGTCCATAATAGGATTTTTGGAGCATGTTCCCCAAGGAGGGATACTCCTTGCACCTAGAGGCAAGAGGGAGGGCCTAGTTCCTACTCCAAATGATTTGACAGGTTTAGATGAACCATCCAGGAACTCATCACCCTACATGTGGAGTGGGGAGATGTTATTTGAGGGTGGTGGTTGGGCATGGGAGGGTAGAAGAAAGGGAGCAGGAAAGGATGGAGCAGGAACTGGGATTCATATGTAAAATAAGAAAAATAAATAAATATAATAAATAAACAAAAGAGAATTGGCACTTATTGTAGTCAATATAAATCATTTTCACTTTTGGGAATGATTCAAAAAGGGAATGAGTTTTATGCCAGCCACATGCATAAATGTAAAGCTGGAGTTTCATTGGTACTTGTCAATTAATGTTGCTGTTTAAATGCAATATCAGTGCCTAAAATCATTTGATGATGAAAATATCCAATCATAAGTGGCTAGCAGACTACCTTAGAGCAAAGTCAATGGAAATGGATGGTCCTTAGGTCCATAATACTGGAAACTACAAATGTCTAAAACAGTTTCACAGAATGCCATTACTGGTCATTTTTTAATAGCTAAATACAATCTGTACATATCGCACAACTATTAAGTATAAGACAATTCACAAACACAATTGCAGCAGTTATTATTTGTATCTCTGCATTTGTTGGTAGTGTGCAGCACCATGCCCAGCTTAGTTATAATAAATACCAAGAACCTGCAATACTCTCAAATAATCATTAACAAAAGCCAAACATATGTTATTCTACCTGCTTCCTAGCCAATCTGTTGACTCTACAGATCAGATACAGAATATAGAATACATTAGATAGATCAATTCAAAATGTAAGCTTACCATTTATAAGTAGCAAACACTAACACTCTTCAAATTAAAGGGACTCTACTGTCAATAACTTTGCAATATAGATGAGAATTGACTTTAGCCAATGAATGCACTTAACATCCACCGTAAATATAGCTTAAATATATTTTACTACTATCAAATTTTTTTTAGCTAGGCAATGGTGGTGCACAACTTTAATCCCAGTACAAAGGAGGTAGAGGCAGGTGCATCACTAAGGCCACCAGAATTGCCATCAATACACAAAGAAACCTTGCCTCAAACCCTTGCTCCAAAAAGGATGTTTCTCTCTGTGTAATTATTTTCCAATTGTAATCATAAAATCAATTTTAAACAAAAAGGAATTCAGTACAATACCCTGAGCTAGTAAAATGTTACAATTCACTTAACTGTTTTAAAATTTTACTTAGTTTTATGTGCATAAGTGTTTCTCCTGACTCTGATATACCTGGACTTACAAGGTGCTCACTGTATGACACATAAATATGAAGATGTGCACATGTTAAGTATGTGTCCATGCACACACGAGTGTGAGTGGAGGTGTTTTAAGAGGACAGAAGAGGGTCTAAGTTCACCTGGAAGTAGAATGACAGGCAAATGTGAGCCATCTGACTTGCTCAGAACCAAACACAGCTCAGGTCTTCTGGAAGAGCAGCAAGTGCTGAGCTGAAATACTGAGCTCTCTCTCTAACCCCCAAAACTCCTTCTCAAGACTTTGTGATTTTAAAACTAATTATATTCAGAGGGAAATGTACAAGTAAAGCACAAAATAAAAGATTAGTTCTCAGTGCTTCCTATGGTCTGGCCTGTAATATGATTTCAATACTGGTAACATTAATAAAATTCATAGAAAGTGATTATTTTTAAATACCGTCTATACCTTTACCTAATATAAAATGAATAGTATATGTTACGGGACTTAAAAACTTACCCAATAGTCATGTGCCCTTTGTTCATGAGCAATAACCTAAAAAACAGTTATTAAAATTATTCGTAAATAAAAAACATTCATTGCCACCACTAAAATTCATGGCGTAAACCATAATACCCACTGCCTAGGCATCTCTGAAGCACTATAACCATTTTGAAAGCATAATTTCACATATACAGATGATTTTCTCTCCTGAAATTTTTAACAAACCTGAACGTAAGTGTTTTTAATGCCAACAAACTGCAGAAGATGATCAACTACTAGAGTTTCCAAGGAACAGATAACAAGCCCAGCATGGGACTGCGATGGTGCCAGACATTGCTTTACTGTATAATACCCATTGCAAAAGAAAGGGAAGTTGCAGAATTTTTTTTATTTCAGTATCGTTGGCTCTCTGGGTATATTTCAGTTTCTGAAAACACATCAGTCGTGATGAAAGCTACAGTCCTGCATCAGTTCTATCCAGTCAGAGTGTTCTAACTGCATATACAGCTGTCACTTGACACACATACCTGCCCTTGATAGGAGCAAATTGTTCTCTCCAATTCTTCTTCGATATCCTTGGCACGCCGTCTACATGGAACAAATAGTTACTCCACTGTGCTGACATATAATAAAGAATAACAGCACGTGGCTACAACAATATTACTGAGTGTTCTTCCTTATTTAATTATAACCTAAAGACTCCTCTTTTCAGAGATGCTGACAGGTATTAAAGACCATCTTCTCCTCCCCTAGGTCTAATGTCAATTAAACTATGTGAATACTACTACTTGGATGTGCCTAACACAATGTCACAAAAATTTACACAGTACAGAAGGTCTCAAGCAGCCTGTTCAGGGGCTCAATTGCAATCTTACCACGCCCCCATCCTAAGTGCAAAAGTCTCAGGCACATGCAAGCATGCCTCATCATCTGGATTTCATTTTCAGGATTCAAAATCATGAAAGATTAACTCAGATCCTGTAAAATTAACAGATTCCCAGAAAAGGAAATCTTTTTTGTTTGTTTTGTTTTGTTTGTTTTTTACTTCATGACAGGGATTCTCTGTAGCCCTAACAGTCCTAGAACTGGCTCTGTAGACCAGGCTGGACTTGAGCTGACAGAGATCCACCTGCCTCTGATACCAATGCCCAGCTCAGGAGAGGAACTCATAAGAGGTAAAAGTATAACTAACTTACTGTCTTTATGAAACAAAAAAGTAATTTGTCCTTTTAGACAAAGCCCAAACTTACTCTTCCTAAGGTTGACAGAAGTGTCCTATGACTCAAGTTGCTGTGGTGAGCCTCTAACAGACATTCTAGTGTTTCCTCAGGTCCACTGAGGACTGAACCAAAGACTAGCTAAGCATTTACTAAAATTCTAAGAGTGGCTTGTTCATTTCATGGCAAACTTGCTGGATGCTAGTACTGTGTATATTCTTCCCCAGCTGAAAAAATCTTCATGAATGAGCTTGAATTAACTGCTCATCATGTCCTTCTTGAAGACAGGGTCTCATGGAGTCCAAGCTAGTTTCAAACTCACTATTTAGCCAATATTGGTCTTGATCTTGTGACCATTCTTTTCCACCTCCCAGTGCCAACACACACAACATCCATACCTATTTATAAACTTCTTGATGTTACCATAAAATATGCTTATACTTATATATCAAAATCCCCAAAAAGAAAATTTTCCTTTTTATATTTTCTGAATATCAACAAAATTCCATGAAGCTCAAATACAAAGTAATGAAACAAAAATATGCCAATTCACTGAGTAGTGGTATTAGGACACACAAGCCTTTAGTCCTAGCACTTGGTAGGCTGAGGCAGGCAGATCTTTGAGTTCAAGGCAAGTCTGCCTCCAGAAAGAGTTCCGGATGGGTCAGGGATACAGAGACCTTGTCTGAGATCAAACAAAACAATAAAGCCATTTTATTTTACTGCTTCCTAATGCCAAGCATCAAAATAAGAAAGAGGATGTCTTACCTATAGGTCTCTAGTTCCTTGTTCACATGGCTGGTTCTCTTGTTCAATTTGAAAAGTTCTTCCTCTTTCTCCAATCTACATTTTTCCTCCACTGTTATTTTCCTTAAAAAAGAGTTTTTTTATTCCTTTTAATGTATGTAATCAATATAATCAACTACAATCACAAATGGTGTATCACACAAAGCAATTGTCATACACCACAGCAAAGGCCATGTGCAAAAAAAGAAAAAAGAAAAAAAAATTGTGAGTCTCCGATATGAAATTTGGCACTGGGCCAAAGAGTGGTTCCAACAAACCCTCCACTTCTGTGGAACTTCCTGGCTCTGCTCTGAACCCACTGGAACCACCTATCCACTCAGGAACACCTTGATGCTAAACTGTCCTAATCTTTGAACCCCACCAACTGCCCTCCACCAGGGGGAGCAATCTCCAAGAGAACTTGGATTATCCAGGGTTGCAGACATCGAACTCCTGACCCACCTACATTCACCAGGACAGCAGGGTAAAGAGAGACAGAAACCCCAGCTTCACACACTGGAATAAGCGATGGGAAGACAGCAATAGAAGAAAACACCCAACAATAGAAAGAACACTATGATACAACCAGAATCTAGGGACTCCACACCAAAAAGAACTAAACATATCAAAACAGATGAAGAAGAGAATGACATAAAAAAAAAAATTCTTAAAAATAACACAGGCCCTCAAAGATGCTATGAGAAAAAAAATCCCTTAAAGCAATGGAAGAACTCCAGACTAATGTGGTTTGATCAAGCCAGACCGCCTGAAACAGAGTAGGAGGTGATCCTACATTCAAAACAGCTGGACAAAGCAGCCTTACAGACTACAGCCAGGATTTGTGAATCTTCTTCGAATCCCCCATGAGAGCGCCCGTTACCAGCAGGAAGTAGTTTGGAAAGAACAACGCCCAAATTCCCAAATATTGTCTATAAATGTTTGTTTTCATTTAAATGGACTTTGTTATATAAAATAAATTAAAAAAAGAGTAACCCACTCATAAAAAGAGGAAATGGTATATACTCACTTATATATGGATTTGAGACATAGAGCAAAGGATCGCCAGCATATAATTCTCACCGTGAGAGAAACTAGTATACAAGGAGGAACCAAAGAATAATACAAGGTCCCTCACAGAAGGGGAAAGGACAGGATCTCCTGAGCATATTGGGAGTGGGTGGGGTCAGTGAGTGGAGTGTCAGGAGAAAGAGAAGGGGAGGAGCAGAGCACATGTGGGACCAGGAAGATTAAATTGGGAGACTAATACATGAGAGAGAAAAAGAAAGATAATATAATAGAGGGAGCCATTACAAGTTTGAAGAGAAAATGGACTCTAGAGAAGTGTTCAGAGACCTACAAGGATAACCCCAATTATCAATCTGAGCAATCGTAGAAAGGCTACCTTAAATTCCCTTCCCTGATAATGAGATAGATAACTAATTTATATGCCATCATTAAGTCCCCATCTAGTAGCTGATGGAAATAGAAGCAGAAACTCACAGCTAAGCACTGATCTGAACTCTTGGAATCCAGTTGCAAAGAGGGATGAGTGATAAGAAAATTGGTCAAGACCAGGCTACTGAAACCAACAGATACAGCTAACCCGAACAAGGGTGAGCTCATGGCCTCCTGACTGATAGCTGGGAAAACAGCATTGTACTGAATCATATCCCTGAACTTGGACCTCAGTTAGAAGGCCTGGGCAGTCTAAGGGACATCTGACAGTTATACCAGGATGTGTCCGTGGTGCATAAAAGGACTTTGGGAGCACATTCCCTGTGGAGGAATACTCCTTTAGCCTAGAAGCAGGAGGGAAGTTCTAGATACTACTCCAAATGATTTGACATATTTTGATGTCCCCTCTTGGATGGCATCACCCTCCCTTTAGAGTTGGGGGGGATGGGAAGTGAAGGTGTGAGCGGGCCAATAGGGAAGGAGGGAGTGGGAACTAGGATCAAGTTTTATTATAGTAAGTCATTATGTTTGTTAGTAAGAGGGCCAATAACTATAACTATGGCTTGTGTTGCTTTGTTTGGTTTTTATGACAGTGTCTCATAACGTAGACCTGAAAATCACATTGTAAACCAGATTGGCCTCCAATTCACATAGATCCACCTGTGTTTGCTTCTTGAGTGCTTGAAGTAAAGGTGTGTAGACCCAATATTTTAAATTGGTAGTCAAAAATAATAAGAGAGTGAGCCCAATCCCCACAGAGGGATAATCTCTTAGCCTAGACACATAGGGGAGGACCTAGGCCTTGTCCCAAATGATGGGACAGACTTTGATGATCCACCATTGAAGGCCTCACCCTTTCTATGTAGCAAAAGAAGGATATGATGGGGTCTTGGGAAGATGGGAGGGAGAGGGAACTGGGATTGATATCTAAAATAATATTGTTTCTAATTTAAACTTTTAAAAAGGAAAAAAGTAACAAGAGAATAAATAATCACAGCACCAGCACTAATCCTGCACTCCTTTTTTCTTTTACTAACGAGTAACAGGTAACTCATTGAACAGTTACTGTGTGCCAGAACTGTTACTAGACTTTTCTGTGGGGAATTAAACTAGTCAACAGCCATACAAAACTATTATTTCCATTGCATAAAAATGAAAACAAGGTACAGAGAAAGCAATCATATACCATGTAAAAATAAGTCTCTGAGAAATGAAGCAACAAGGCATTTCATCACTGTGTGGACATCAGAGTATACTTAAACAAGCAAATATGGCAAAGAATCAATGGGTGGCATTGTCCTATTTGTGGTTCATTTTGTACCAACATGTTATTATATGACACATGATTGTCACTGGAAGCAGGCTTTGGGAGCATATGGCCTCTTCCTGCTTCTAGTTTTATCTGTCTTCTTCAACTTTAAGGGGGTTATGATCTCTCCTCTTCCTGCTCTAAGAACATGCTCCCATCCTCCCCTCACTATCATGGGCTCTCCCTTTTGGAACTGTGCACCAAAACAAGTTCTCCCATCTACTAGTTGCCTTGACCTGAATAGTTTGGTATTTAGGGGTTTTTGTTTGTTTGTTTGTTTTCTTTCTGCCATTGTATTTTATCACAGCAACAGAAAAGTAATTAATACAGCCTAAATGTTGAAATTTAAACTCTACTTATAGAACTTCAAAGAGAAATCACATATATAAAGCAGTATACTAAACTCCTAGATTCAAATATTTCACTTCTTTCCAATATTAAACTTAAAGAGCTGAAGATAATGTATCAGTCATGAAAAAAAAAAAAACAAGAAAATAACATGAATGAAAAAAGGCAATCTAGAAAATAAGTTAACCAAAATTATAGCCTATAGATGCAAGAACTTATTCTGATATTTATACAGTTTTACAAAATTTCTATGTCCTACCCTGAAGAACAGCTTGTGGCATAATTCAGCTTGAGCTGTGAGTTGATTCAGAGCAGAATATATAATATAATACTATTAATAACAGACATATTCACTGGGCTTTTTTGTCAACTTCTCACAAACTACAGAAACTTGGCAAAAGAGAATCTCAACTGAGAAAATAACTTCCCAGGACATGCTTGAGGCAAGCCTATGGGCACGTTCTCCATGACTAATTGATGTAGGAGAGACTCCAACCAATGCAAGTGGTGCCACCCCTGGGTTATATAAGGAAGCTGATCAATGCATGGAAAGCAAGGCAGTAAACAGTCCTCCTCTATGGCCTCAATTTCAGTTGTGCCTAGACTTTTCATTATGACCAGTGTGATCAGGACAGCAACAGAAAGTAAAGTAATACATGAAATCACAGTGTGAACACATACAAACAGAACACAATGCATATTTTCACCACTGCTTTGAAAATGGACAGAAAATGTGTTGCACCTTTGAATTTTTAAGCATTACACATTAACTTCATTAACTCATTAACCATTAACTGGCAAATTAGCAAATAATGGGGTCACTCGTTCCTGGGGTAAAACAGGAATACTTCTCTGTTGATCTCTTTTCATGAAACATATCATGTAAAGAATACACAACTTTGAATCCTGTGTAAGTATTTTTTAAAACTCACCATGGGACTGGAGAGATGGCTCACACCTAAGAGTGCACAAACTGCTCTGGCAGAGGACACAAGTTCAGTAATCAGTACCCACATGGCAGCTCACAAGCATTTGTAACTCTGTTTCAAGGGATCCAACGCCTTCTTTGGGCCTTAGAGAGCACCAGGCACAGGCATTGTGCACAGATATAAATACAGGAACTCTCACATACACATAAAATGAAAATAATACTCCATGGGCAGGAACAATAGTTCAGCCATTAAGAAGAGTACATCCTGCTCTTGCAGAGGACATGAGCTCAATTCCCAAGACCTATATCCAGTGACTCATAACAGCATGTTATCTACAATTCCAGGGAGAGCCAACATTTCTGACTTCTACATGCACCAACACTTATGCTTACAGGTGCACACACATTATACATAATTTAAAAGAGCAAATCACTGTTTTGTTTCTTTGTTTTGCTTTGTTTGATAAGATGGGGTTTTTCTATGTAGCTTTGTAGACCAGGCTGGCCTCGAACTCACAGAGATTCAGCAGCCTCTGCCTCCTGAGTGCTGGGATTAAATGTGTGCACCATCCATGCCCAGCATAATAAATCATTTTTTAAAACTAAATAAAATCTACAATGGTGGAAAACACCTGTTCCAAGCACTTGGGAAGTGACTGCAGAAAGATCAGGAGTTAAGAGACACAGCTGACTGTAATCAGGGTCAAGCCAGCATGGACTATATGAAAGAGTCTCGAACAAAATAATACACATCTTAGTTCATCATAGTTAACATAAGTTGTAGATTTCCTAAAGTAAATTCCCAACCAACAGCACTGTAAGTTAAGACAAAACAAAGTTAATCTTATACATAGCATTTTCTCCACAAAGTATATTATGGCCTTCTTACCATCAAGAACACGTGACAGCACTCAAGCACATGCTTGGTTTCTATGTGAACAGGTACCTCACCAAATAAACATCACCAAATAAACAATTCTAAAAAGATGAGGTAGTCAGAAAAGACAATTGTTTACAGAATGAGAACTGAAAGAAGTTGCTGTGTTAGCCCTCAACCAGGAGTTCTCACACTGGGCCTCAGAATCTTCATCATTCTCAGTTTACCCATGAAAGGCCAGCAAATCTCTGGGGGAAAACACAGGCTTTAAGGTTACAAACAAATTTAACAATGGACTTTACATCACACACACACACACATACATAAATACATGCATACTTAAGGTATGAAGGAATAGGACATACAAGGGACTTCCAAAGGGCAATAAAAGTCAAAGTGTGCTTGGTTTTATAATGAAAACTTTAAACTGTAATTCTTATTAGGAAATAAGCAATTGCAAGATTGGTATCTCAAGGGTCTTTTCTCTGCCTCTGGGCATGTCAGGGCAATGTCTCATATTGCCATCAATATTTAAATACACTGAGCACAATTTTATTTATTTCTTTTCATTTTACATATTAATCCCTGTTTTCCCTCCTTCCCTGTTTCCCTCCCTTCATACTCTCATGCCCCCCCACCACACTCCTCTCCCACCCCCTACTCCACATGTAGGGTGATGTCTTCCAGGAGGGGTCATCTGAATCTGTCACATCATTGGGAGTAGGGACTAGGTCTTCTCTCCTGTCTCTAGGTTAAGGGAGTATCCCTCCATGGGGGATGTGCACCAAAAGTCCTTTTGTGCAACAGGTACATATCCTGTTTCCACTGTCAGAGGTCCCTTAGACTTTCCAGGCCTTCTGGCAGAGACCCATGTTTAGGGAGTCTGAGTCAGTGCAATGCTGGAATCCCAGCTCTCAGTCTGGGGGCCCAGTAGCTCCTCCTTTTTCAGGTCAGCTGTCTCAATGTGTATTTGTAGCCGGCCTTGTCCTCTCTCTCTGCATCTGCATTCCTGTTTTGCTCAGTGGTTACTTGTGGGTGTCTGCTTCTGTTTCCATCTGCTGCTAGATGAGAGCTCTATGATGGTGGATAATACAGTCCTCAATCTTATCATCAGGGAAGGGCATTTATGGTAGCCCTTCCACTGTTACTCAAATTGTTACTTGCAGTGAGTCTTGAGGTCTCTGGACATTTCTCTAGGTTCATTTTTCTCTTCGAACATATAATTGCTCCCTCTATTATGTTCCCTCTCTCTCTCTCTCTCTCTCTCTCTCTCTCTCTCTCTCTCTCTCTCTTCTCATCTATTCCTCCCGTTGACTCAATCTTCCTAGGCCCACATGCTTTCCTCTCCTCCCCTTCTCTTTCTCCTAGCTCCCTCTCCACTCACTGCCCCACTACTCCCCATATGCTGAGGAGATCTTGTCCCTTTCTCCTTCTGTTAGGGGACTTATATGAATCTCTTAGAATCCTCCTTGCATCTTAATTTCTTTGGCAGCGTTAATTATAGGCTGGTGATCCTTTGCTCTGTCTAAAATACATATATGATTGAGTACATACAATTTTATTCTTTTTGTGACTGGGTTACCTCATTCAGGATGGTTTCTTCAAGGTCCATTCACTTGACTGCAAATTTCACGATTCTATTATTTTCTTTTCTGGCAGAGTAGTATTCCATTGTGTAAATGTGCCACATCTTCTTTATCCATATTCTTCAGTTGAAGGGCTTCTTGGTTGCTTCCAATTTCTTGCTATTACAAACCATGCTGCCATGAACATAGTAGAACAGAAGTCTTTGTTGCATGGATGTGGATCATTTGGGTATATGCCTAAGATGGCGATTGCCGGGGCCTGTGGTAGACTGATTCCCATTTTCCTGAGGAACCGCCTTAATGATCTCCAAAATAACTGTACAACTTTGCACTCTCAACAACAGTGGAGGAGTGCTCCCCTTTCTCCACATCCTGTCCAGCATAAGTTGTTCTTGGTGTTTCTAACTTTAGCCAATCTGGCAGCAGTAAGATGATATCTCGTAGTTCCTTTGATTTGCATTTTCCTGGTAGCTAAGGATTGTGAGTACTTTCTTTAGTGCCCTTCAGCCTTTTGAATTTCCTCTATTGAGAATTCTCTATTAAGTTCTGGACCCCATTTTTAATAGTGTTATTTGGTGTTTTGTTGACTAGTTTCTTGTGTTCTTTGTATATTTTGGAGATCAGCCCTCTGTCAGATGTAGGATTGGTGAAGATATTTTCCCAGTCTGTGGGCTGCCATTTGGTCTTGTCAACTGTGTCCTTTGCCTTATAGAAGCTTCTCAGTTTGGGGAGGTCCCATTTATTAATTGTACATCTCAGTGTCTGTGCTACTAGAATTATGTTCAGGAAGCAGTCTTCTGTACCAGTTTGTTCAAAGGTACTTCCCACTTTCTCTTCTATGAGGTTCTATGAGTTTCAGTGTGGATGGATTTATGTTGAGGTCTTTGATCCATTTGGACTTGAGTTTTGTGAATGGTGATAGACATGGGTCTATCTACAGTCTTCTACATACCCTTATCCAATTGTCCCAGCACCAGTTGTTGAAGATGCTGTCCTTGCCCCATTGTATAATTTTAGCTGTTTTGTCCTAAATCAGGTGTTCGTAGCTGTGTAGGTTAATGTCAGAATATTTGATTTAATTTCATTGGTGACCTTGTCTATATTTGTGCCAATACCAGACTGTTTTCAGGATTATAGGTCTGTTGTAGAGCTTAAAGTTGAGGATGGTGATGTCTCCTCGAGTTTCCTTATTGTACAGGATTGTTTTTGCTATCCTGGTTTTTTTTTCTTTTTCTGTATAAAGTTGATTATTATCCTTTCAAGGTCATTGAAGAATTGGATTGGAAACCCACTATTTTCCTTTCAGTTTAGGCACTGGGAATATAAATAAAAGTAACATACTTCTTACAGGGTTTAAATTATTGAGAAGTGGAACACATGATGTTTAGAGAACAAAACAAGATGTGATGAGAAATAGCGGTTCAGTTAGGGTACCAAGAAAGTCTTCTTTAAGATGACAGTGGGACCCACATCTGAATGAAACAAAGATTCGAAAATGCAAGCACATAGAACACCACATAGTGAAAAAAATAAAAAGAAGAAAAGAAAAAGCTTGAAAGATGAAAGACCTTACCATACAGATATGCTGGGCACACCAAAAATGAAGGAAGCCAATGGTAATAGATAGCAACAAAGAAAAGAGACATAGTATAGTCTATAGCTTCTCACAAGGTGGGTATGGTAAACTTGGCTCTGAGAATCTTGTTTTAAGTCTGTTTAAAAGCATTTGGGGGGAGGGTCCAGGAAAGACCGTGACAGTACACACAATTTATGTTTTAGGAGTTATTCTGAGTTTACAGAGAAAAGACAGTGTAGGAAGTTGAGGTATAAAGATATTCATAGGGCTACTGTAATGAACCAACTACTGCTAATGATGGCTTTAACCAGAGTATTAGTAGATGATAAAAAGCCATCAGATTAAAGGTTAAGAAATTTGACAGAATTTGATGATAAGACAAACAAATATGGGACACAAAAGGGGCACTGAAGGATGACTAGCAGCTGCCCGTTCACAAAGACAATGATACTGCCATTTAGTAACTACAACAAGGAATATTAACCAAGACTAACATGCGCAGAAGAAAGCAGTCAGTTTTATATACACCAGGAAGTTCCATCCAAAGACACTACTTAGATTCCCGGACCCTGTGTGTCAGCATGAGTTTAAGGCAATAATCTGATAAATGTTACTAGATACTGAGAAAGGTAGCTTGGGAATTCCAACATATTTACATTTTGTTCTTGAAGAAAAACGTTCAAGACAAAATAACATTCTGAAATGTGAATGATGTAGCCAGGTAATGTAGGGCACTCCTTTAAAACTAGCAGTCAGGTAGCAAAGGCAGGTGGATGTCTCTTAGTTCAAGGCCAGCCTGGTCTACAGAGTGAGTTCCAGGATAGGCTGCAAAGCTACACAGACAAATCCTGTCTTGAAAACACAAACACCAAATTAAAAAAAAAAAAAAGAAACAACATGAATGATTCTATGTAATTGATAACATCCAATAATCAATGTGTAAAGCCTCTAATACATAACATGCATTTAAAGACATTTCACTTGCCATTCACTGGAGTTACCAAACACCTCTCACCTGTGAAGCATCCTTTCATTGTCTTGGTACAGCTCCCTCATCACTGTGATTTTCCTTTGAAGCTTCTGTTTCTCGATTTCAAGTAGTGTATTACCTGACTGCAGAGACACTTGTTCAGACTTGAGACTTTGCATATGCTCTAGACAAGCGTACAAAATCATAAAGAAACAAAATTAAAGGAATTTCATAAAATTAAAAACATATTGAAGATACACAAAATTGGCCAGATCACTGTGACTTCAAAACCCACCTACTTTATAAAGATACACAGAGAAGACCGTCCTGAAAACAAAAATCCTTAGTCACATGCCTAGGGATTTTTAAATGTATATGGAACCACTCAGACAATATACAATTAAAATATGTCTTAAATTTTTAGTGGCTAGAGAGGTTAAGGGGAGTGTTTGTTTTTCCAAAGGTCCCGAGTTCAGATCTCAGCAACTACATGGTGGCTCACACAATCTGTAATGGTGTCTGGTGCCCTCATCTGGCTTGCAGGTGTGCATCCAGTCAGAACACTGTATACATAATAAATAAATAAATCTTAAAGAAAAAAAGATAATGGACAAGATTGGACATGCCCAGGGACATACAGCTATAGACAATTACTATAGACAACAACAGTTCAGTTACTAGTACCATAATAAATCAGCCTTTTTTCAGTCAAAATTGTTCATGTGCTGTCATTCAAATTAGCTGATAATAAGTGCTCATTTCCACTTTCCTGAGAGACCAAGTCTCAAACAAAATGAAGACTGGAAAGAATAATGACTTTTCCATTATTTCAACTGCTATACTACTGAATCACCCACAAAATTGGGGAGATAGCTCAGTCAGTTAGGTACTGGCTAAACAAACATGAGGACCAAAGTTTGGGTCATGAGCACCCATATAAGACCTGTCTGAGTGCTGGAAAGGGAAAAAACAAGATCCCTAGGGCTCACTGAGCAGCACAATCCAGGTTTAATGAGAGCTTTCTCAATGAATAAGGGGGAAAGCTATTGAAGGAAAGCCTGAATATCTACTTTTGTCCTCTATATACATATGAATACAGACACACACAAAATGGATTATCAATTATAAGTGATTGTGAATTCTGTATGAACTAGCATACCATTATTTTTACATATCTCACTTTTCTTTCATTATGATTACTACAACTCTACACAGCTCTAATATTGAAATGAGATCCTCAACTCTGACCTGCTCTAAGGTATCATTCCCAAAACATATGTGAACCAATCGAATACAAGAAAAAAATGCACTATACTTCAAAAGGGCAGTTTCAAAATCATAACAAGGAAAAGTTTAGTAACTATATGCAATGGGATGTTATTATTCTAAAATGCAAGCTAAATAAACATATGGACCAAAAGAAAAGTTTGTGTCAATACAGTAATAGCAAAGGGAACATGTACAGGAAATCATGCATAGGTGACTTCTGCAAAAATTTTAAAGCTATATCAGAAAAAAAAAATGCCCATCCATGCTGTCTGCCAAATCTAACAAGTCACTTATCAAGAAATCAATGATCAATATAAGCTGTAATATAATTGAATCATACTAATGCAAAGAAGTCTTACAAAACAACACAAATTATTTTACCATTATACACTCAAGCTCTTTTTTCTAGTGTCTTACTTTATCTCATTTTAAAGCTTTTAAAACTAAGTGTTTGGGAGACATGGAAGGCAGGGGCTCAGAGGGAAGGGGACTTGGAAAAAGTATAGCTCAATTAAAAAAAAGTGTGTGTGTGTGTGTGTGTGTGTGTGTGTGTGTGTGTGTGTGTGTGTGTGTGTGTGTGTGTGTGTGTTCACCTGAGCCTGCATGCCCAGGTGGGTAAAGGTCAGAGGACGACTAGCAGGGGTCTGTTCTCTCCTTCCACTGGAGACTGAATTCAGACCATCAGGCTCAGAAGAAGGGGCTTTTATGCACTGAACCCACACACTATAATAGGGCACTGTACAGGCCAGGTGCAGTAATTTTAAGCCTATATAAAGCAGACATGTGAGAAGCTGAGGTAGAAATGTGAAGACTTCAAGAAGCCTGGGGTTACATAGAAACATGCATTTAAAGGAAGAACACTATAAATTATTACCAAAAAGGCCAGATACTATGGAAGATGAGAGATGGTTAGAGAAAAATGCTCCCATATGATAAAAATTAATTATTGAAAAATTTTATGACGCATCAAGGAAAGAATGTTGGGGCTGGAGACATGGCTCAGCAGTTAAGAGCAATGAATGCTCTTCCAGAGAACCTTGGCTCAATTCCAATCACCAACAGGGCAGCTCAAAACTGTCTGTAACTCCAGTTCCAGGGGATCTGACACTCTCACAAAGACATATATGTGAGCAAAATCCCAATAAAGTAAATAAATAAAAAATATTAAATAATTTTTAAAAACACCATGGAAAAAGAAAAGGTGGATTTGGAGAAACGCTCTACACACAAGAGTTTCCAGTATTACTTGGGGGGGGAGGGGATTAAGACTGGCCAAGAGAAGGAGTAAACAATGGAATAACTGGTGAACTTGCTTGCTACACTGGTATTTCGTAAGATACATGTACGTTAATGTATGCCTCGATAAAGCTGCCTTGAGAACAGAGTGCCTATTCCTCTCTGTATCTTCCACACTGTTAATACCATTCATCTCAGATAGCAGCATTTTTTTTTAATTAGACTAGTGTTTTTTCAGGTCTAATAACAATACAATTACTATAATCAATGAGTAGAGCAATTTAATCCAATGGTTCAATCTTTTTTAAGCATTTTGCTCATTAAAAGAATTAAAGGCCTTTGAGACCCTTTTGGTCTTTTTCTCATCAGATCTCAACCCTGGTCTTGAATGTTATAAAGAAGATAAAGTACACTGAAGCTGGACTCCCAATGATGAAGTCTGGTATAGAGCATAGGTCCAGATTCAAATGGTTCTGGCTATCGTTTGGAACACAGAATAAGTTAAGAATGAAAAGGAAGAAATGTGAAGTTCTGGGCAGCCATGGCAATGGTTGACTACATATTGACGTTTCTTGTACTCATTGAGAGGATTATTTTGTTGTTGTTGATTTCTGGTATGTTTATATTCAGCTGTGTAATCAGTGAAGGGGCCTTGCCTGTGATCATAGGTGTAGAGTTAGAAACAGGCAGGAAAAGCATCAGGCAGGTGGAAATGAAGCTCCACAAGCAGTAGCTTTTGCCTTATGTTGCATCATTTATTAAAGTGTAACAGGATCAATAAAGCCTGTTTTGAAAAGAAAATATAGATGAGGAGAAATAAAAAAAAAAAAAGATGTCTGTGGTTCCATTCTGAGTTAACCAGCACAGACATTTGAATATGTCCATCCATTCTCTTCTGATATAAACATATGAATTTATTTCATTAACAAAGTGAGATGTGATATATCTTTTACAGCACAAACACAACCGGAAAAAAACTATTTTTCAATGTGAACAAAATCAGCAAACTTTTTTAATGCTTTCCCTAAAAAATATATATTTTATAGGTCTAAAGCCACTCCTGTGTATGCTAATAAATTATATGAATATATTAAAGTAGTAGACATTACAAGAGCAAGTCCTGAAGATCACTTTCTCAATTTTAAAAAATGTAAGGAAAAATTTAAATTTAAAACTTTTTAACATCTAAAAATATATCCAACATTGTACTCCTTGTGGTGGCTTGAGTGAAAAATGTCACCCTAGGCTCAGAGGATGTGACACTATTAGGAAGTATTGCTTTGTTGGAGGAAGTTGTCACTGAGGGTGAGCTTTGAGGTTTCAGAAGCTCAAGACTGACCCAGTGGCACTCCTCCTTCCTGCTGCCTGCAGATCTAGATATAGAACTCCTGGCTCTTTCCCCAGCACCATGTCTGCCTGTGTGATCTTCTGCAGTGCAATTACTATGGAATACTACTTTATGGAATACTTATCATTTGCAGGCCCTAGAACTCTGAACTGTAAGCCAGATCCAATGAATGTCTTTCCTTATAAGAGTTGCCAGGGTCAAAGTGTCTCTACATAGCAATAGAAACCCTAACAAAGATGCACCATACTCCACATTCTTACATGCTTTTAATAATTTGCATAAATATAAGAGAAAATGGAGTAAGTTTACCACTGACAGTAAAACTCAGAAGTAATTCATTCTATTTAAGGAGACATGCTCGTCAAGAACCCTTACCTGTAAGATCATCATTTGTTGCATCTATTTCAGATAACTGAGTATAAATTTGGTTTCTGTCTCCTTCTAGGGTTTTTAACGAAGCACTTAACTTTAAAGAAGGAAAAGAAAAAGAAAAGCAATTATCAATTACACACACACACACACACAAAAAAAAAAAAAACACATCTCCAATATACCCCATACTACTGTTCTGCAGTTATTTTCCCTGTGATGATGTTATCATGGACAACATAAAGACATCAGTGCAGCTGCTAAAGCAGCCTTCACCCTATACAATCAGGACTTTTTACACAGATTAACTAAGAACAGACAGAGGGAATAAACCAGAAGAAAACACAGCTATTATTTATTTCTCAAAAGAGTATGTGGAACCATTGGAACCAGAAGAAAAGAATGAACAAGGTGAATGATGAAACAAAATAATAATATTTCTGAAGATATCTTTAATGGAAGGAATGAGTGTACAATTTGAACATTTCTAAATACTCTAATTATAAGAATTTCTAAAGTTGATATAAAAAAAGAAATTGATAAGGAAATCCTAGGGGCTGGAGAGATAGTGCAGTGGCTGCTCTTCCAGTGGACCCGGATTTAAGTCTCTACACCCACATGGCAGCTCACGACTGTCTATAGCTCCAGTTCCAGGGAATCTCAAACCCTCATAAAGACAAGCATGCTGGCAAACCACCAATGCACAGAAAATTAATACAGCAAAAGAAAAAGAAAATTCTAATCATTTATCACATAACCTTATACAAAAAATAAAAGCAATCTTTAAATTAGTTACATAAGGACACACAGATTTCATCTCTGCTGTAGGTCCAGCTCCTTCTCATCTAGATTTTTACTTACTAATACAAACCTCAGTAGCATATATTAGCTTCCTCAAAGCTCCCTTAGGCTGATTACCTACAGTGAAAAATAAAACCATACTTAGTGAACACGTCCAAATTAATGCATTAGTTCTTCATCTAGTCTTGCAACCCCTCTTCCGGCCAAAATTAAACAATTTGAGGCTGAGCTTACTTGCTCTTGACTCCTATTCCAACATTTCACAGCTAAGACAAGGGGATTCCCATGAGTATAAGGCCAGCCTGGACTCCAAGGTGAATTCCAGGCCAGCTTGAGCTACAGCAAGATGCTGTCTCAGTAAAAAGAGTAATTAAAATAAAAACAATAATTTACATGAGGTAGAGTGACCTACACTCAGGAAAATAGACAGTGCACTACAGAGACCCAACAAGAACTGAATATTTACATAAACAGTGTCCATGGACTTAACTATGCTTAGATTCTTATGGCAATACAGCATCCAGGTTAATTAGTCAATCGTGGCTTCAACACTAAAATTATTAATGAACCATGGCTCCAAGTTAAGTACTATTAAACATAAATAGAATTTATGTTTCTTCTATTATAAAATAAAAATGAAAAATACAAATATACCTTACTATACCTTACTATAGTTCCCCTTTTGTTATGGAACTTAAGAGCTGTGTTGTTATAATGAAGAAATATGGGCTATAGAGAAGAACAAAAGAGAAGAAGTCTATAACTCTGAAGAAGAAAAGAAAGATTTACACAAAAGACTAGCTAAATAAGGTGGAAAGAGTGCGTGGTACTTCATGAAGATAGACAAAATGTGCCAAGTCTAAGTATATGAGGAGCTCGATACACATGTGGAATGAAGAGGAAACAAGGAGCCGGTCGCCACAAGTCAGTGCACGTTATTCTCTAAGTCATTGTTCACTTCTACATCCAGATTACCATCATCAGTTACATCTTCCCCAAGCACAGAATTCCAGTCTTTCATCCTTAGCAGGCTCTCCATCAGAGACTGGATATTGAGTAAAAAGAGAAAACAAAATAGAAGGTAATGACTCATGATAATAGCTTTACAATTTAGAACTTAACTCATCTGAAATTCAATCCTGAGCCAATGAGATGGCTCGGCAGGTAAAAGCATCTGCCACTTAGACTGATAATCTGAGTTTAATCCCCAGAACCCACATGGTAGGAAAATTGCCTCCCAAAATTTGTCTACTGAACTCCATACCCACATCATGGAATGCACACACCCGACACATACATACACAAGTAAGTGTTTAATTATTATAATTTTTTAAATCAATCCCCATAAATAAATCCTTTTGTGCCCTAAGTATCTGTCTGCAATTGAGATATGTAGATAGTTGGTTTTATTTTCTAACTCCACATTTAGGGACTATTAATCCTGAAAAACTAACTTGCTGAACATGGTACATCTTTTACCCCACCACTCAGAAGGAATAGGCAGGCAGATCTATGTGAGATGGGAGCCAGACTGATGTAATAAAGTGAGTTCTGGTAATAAAAAAATACCTCTTGAAACTCTGTATGCAAAAAAAGTTATTATGAATATTATGGAAGGGAGGGATGGAGGAAGGGGAGGTAGTGAGGGAAGGAAGGATGAAGAGAAAAAGGAAAAGAAAGAAGAGAAAACAAAATCAAATGCAGTGTTTTATAACGGTTCATTCTTGTTAACTACAAAGCTACAAAATATTTTCTTTTGTGTGTATCATACACACATGAGTATGCAGGTGCACATACAGCTGCAAGAGCATGAGGTAAGAAGATGCAAGTGTCTTCTTCCATCATACTCTAGCTTACTGCCTCGAGACAAGACCTCTCATGGAATCAGAACTCTACTATCTCAAAACCATGGCAGCTCAACAGGCTCTAATCTCCACTGTCTCTGTCCCCTGTGTGGGGCTCTCAGGCATGCGCAGCCATGCTCTTTTATGTGGGTGCTTAGAATTCAAACTCAAGTCCTTATGCTTGCAGACCAAGTGCACTAACCCACTAAACCATCTCCCCACTTCCTAAAATACTTTCTTTTGACATTTTTTATATTTTTTTTACTAATTTACAGTAGGACTGGAGAGATAGCTGAGCAGTTCAGGACTCATTACTCTGCTAAAGCATCTAAGCTCTTTTCCCAGCACCCACATCAGATGGTTCACAACCACTTGTAACTCTAGCTCCAGGACATCCAGTGGTCTCTTCTGGCCTCTGTGGGAAGCATGCAGGCAAGTGGATGGCACTTGAAGAAACCATCCTGAATGAGGTAACCCAGTCACCAAAAAGAGGAACACAGTATGTACTCACTCATATATGGATTTTAGACCTAGATCAAATGATCACCAGCAAATAATTCACATCACCAGACGAACTAGGATACAAGGTGTATTCTAAGAGATTCATATAAAGTCTCTCACAGAAATGGGAAGGGACAGTTCACCCAGTGCTCAGGGGAAGTGGGGGGGGGCAGCGAATGGAGAGAAAAGGAGGGGGAGGAAAGGAAAATATGTGGGACCAGGAAGATTGAGCCCGGTTAGGAATAGAAGATGTGAGAGAGAGAGAGAGAGAGAGAGAGAGAGAGAGAGAGAGAGAGAGAGAGAGAGAGAGAACATAAAAGATGGAGCCAATAATGGTTTGAAGATAAAATTGAATGCAAAGAAAGGTCTAGAGACCTACAAGACTGCTGCCAACTAACAATCTGAGATTCCATGGAAAGGCTACCATAAATGCCCTTCCCGGAGAGTGAGATCAACAACTAACTTATCCATGGAGTCCTAAACTTGTGCCTGATGGAAACAGGAGCAAACATCCATACATAAACACTGAGTCAAAGTAGAACCTGGATGAAGATGGAGAGGACAAGACCAGGCTACAGAAACACGTAGAGACAACTTACCTGAACAAGAAGGAGCTAATGGGCCACCAGACTGATAGCTGGGAAGCCAGCATGGGACTGACTCAGGCCTCACTGATTATGCATCTCAGCCAGAAGGACTGAGCAGTCTAAGAGACCTCAGACAGTGGAGCCAGGATGTATCCCTAGTGCACAAAAGGACCTTGCTGACACATCCCCCATGGAGGTATAACTGCCTTAACCTAGAGACAGGAGAGAAGCCCTAGTCCCTACTTCACATGACCTGTCAGATCTACATGACCCCAACTGGATGGCATTCCCCTACATATGGAAATTGCGTGGGGGGATGGGAGGGGAGGGTGGTTAGAGTGTAAGAGGTGTGAGAGGGCATAGAGTGTAAAAGGGAGGGAAGGAGGGAAGGAGGGAGGAAGGAATGAAGGGAGGGAGGGAGAGAGGGAGAGGGAACTGGGATGGACATGTAAAATAATAAATTAAATTAAAAAAAATGCTTTGACTCCAAAATTTAAGTTCAAGGACAAGTTACTGGGGAAAAGGATTTCTATTTTTGTTTCCACAGAAAATGAAAAGATGTGGATTCCTTCCAGACTAATGTGGTTTGATCAAGCCAGCCTTCCTGAAACCGAGTACCAGGTGATCCTACATTCAAAACAGCTTGACAAATAGCCTTAAAGACTACAGCCAGGATTTCTGCATCTTCTTGGAATTACCTTGACAGAGCCCCTTACCAGCAGGAAGTAGTTTGGAAAAATGATGCCCAAATTCCCAAATATTGTCTAATGTTTGTTTTCATTTAAATGGACTTGGTCATATAAAACAACAAAAAGGTAAAAATCATTATTTTATTTCTTTATTCATGAACTCCAGGCTAAAATACTGGAGAACAAAGACATGGAGTGTTAACATATATATTACAAATCTATGTATGTTCTAGAAGCATTTGAAATGTAACAAAAAGACACAATAGCAAATAAAAGCTGTTAAAATTATTTGAATTTACAATTAAGTATAAAATTGTGACCAACTAATGACTAAACCAAACAAGCCATTACCTTGATCTGATTTTCCTTAACTTTTAGGAGTTGCTCTGCCTGTACGTTGGATACTTCGATTGCTATTTTCTGTTTATTGAGTTGATTCATTTGTTCTTTCATGATTTTAGCTTCTTCTAAATACTGATAGGAAAACAATAACAAGGATATTAAAGACAGCACAATTTTTACATGAATGTTTTCAATATCATTAAAAGATACTAAATGTGTCATTAAATGATATTTAAAAAGATAGGGCTGCTACTTAAATAGGGACTCAGATGTGGTTCCTTTTTATAATGAACTTTCAAAGCAGAAGACTATAAAATAAGAAATACTCTTCAACTGATTTCCAAGGAAAATTTTCATCAAGTACATGATTTTGACACATACTTGTATGAAAAATCTAGTCAATTATTTCTATCTTTGTACCCTATATACTCTGCTACATCTCATTACTTTTGTTTGTTTGTTTGTTTTGTTTTCCCAATAGAGTTTCTCTGTATTGCTTTGGAGCTTGTCCTAGAACCAACTCTGTAGACCAGGCTGGCCTGGAACTCACAGCAGAGATACAACTGCCTCTGCCTCCCAGGTGCTGGAATTAAAGGTATGTGCCACCAATGTCCAGAGATAGATATATATATATATATTCTGCAGATAATCTGAGCCTGAACTTCACTGTGAGTTCCAGTTTAGCCTGGTATACATGGTAGGACTTTGAAGTGAGGATGACTCAGCTTTTATTATAGTAAGGACAATCAACACAGGAGTCCTCACCACCATGTTTTCTAAAATCTGAGATGATAGAACAAAGATGTGAAAGGAAAAGACATCAACCCCAAAAGAAAATGGACAAACAGAACGAACACATGTGAGACCAAACAATCCACAGACAATAGAAGAAACATAAGCCAGTTAGAAAAACATAAAATAAGATGACTTGACACAATCCAGAGAGGCTCATGATTGAAAGCAGTAGTAGTAGAGGGAGGAATGGAAACCAAAAGGGAAGAATTAGGGAACTGGAGAGACAGTAGAGTAGTTAAAAGCACATACTGCTCTTGCAGAGGACCCACACTCAATTCCCTGCACCTGCACGGAATAGCTCACAGGTGCCTGTAATTCTAAATGATCTAATGTCCTCCTCTAGTCCCTATAAATGCCTGAACATATACACACATACCAACACACAGAAGCACACACATGCTCCTGATATCTCTCCTATTACCTCCCTGTACCTGTCTTCTCTCAAACATGCATATACACATCACATTTTCTGCCACTCATCACATTTTTTCTTTTATGCATACATACAGCTGAGTGTTTCATCCCTACTGGCAAGCTTCAATAGTGCTGTAAGGTGTTATGCATACAGCAGTACAAAACATATTCATCAATGTCACCTACCTGTGAAGCACACAAGCTGAAATAACAACCCAGCAGCAAGATGTGGCTTATGGTACCACAGTAGCATAAGTGTATTAAAGTAAGCAACCACTTTCTATTTGGATTTAAGGCCAACCAGCTCAATGAGGTGTCCAGCACAGCAATGCACACCTTTCACCTCAGTGCCCAGGAATCAGAGTCAGGTGGAATTCTGTGAGATCAAAGTCATTCTGATCTGCATAGGGAGCTCCAGGATAGACAGAATTACTTAAGAGAGATTATTCTTTCTAAAAAAATGAGGTGGACCATTCCTGACACTGTTAAGGCCTCTAGTCACTACACACAGTTACACATATGTATCCATGTGCACAAATGAACACACACTCACACCCACAAACACACTCAACAAATCAGGTAGTCGTCACTATCATTATCATGGAAGGGCTTTAAAGTTAGTCTCTCCAGTATTTCTTGGATTGCTATTTGGTCACGGAAGGCCTCACCTTCCATGGGAAGCAGAAAGGGGATAGGGTGGGTTTTGGTGGGAGTTATAGGCATGAATGGGAACATGAGGGAACTGAGATTGACAACTTTGTTTCAAATTTAAATAAAAAGGAAAAAAATCAAAATTTAAGTTATCACAATAAATAGTTCTAGTAACCCACAGTTTCAAGAGTTTCCAGAATGTAAGAATCCAACATATTAAAGAAACCCTATGTGACACATCATCACACAATCTCAGAGAGCTAAAGACAACAGAAAGATAATGTTTGAGGAGAAAAAAAAAGGGCAGAAAGCAAAGAAGGTCCCATAATCAACACATCATTCAAGTTTCAAAACCAAACATGGAAAGGGAAGACAATGCAGCAATATCAAAATTTTATTTTAAAAAAATGCAGCACAGCAGATAGATCTCCTGGTTTGAGGCCTGCATGAGATTATAGTGAGTTCCAGAACAGCCAAGACTATTACACAGAGAAACCCTGTCACACTAACAACAACAAAAGCAGAATCAAAACACCAAGAAGTGCAAATAAGTATCTAAATATCTGAAACATGAAAGAGAACAACGAGTTAGAGCAATTTCTCAGTGGTTAATACCATGTACTGTTCTCCAAGGGGTCCTGAGTTCAGTTCCCAGAACCTATATCGGGCTCATCACAGCCACTTATAACTCGAAGTACAGGAGATTCAACATCTTTGAGAGCACCTTAATCATGAACACAAATGCACACAAATAACACATGCACAAAATTAAAAAATAATAATTAATTTCAAAATAAAATCTTTTTTAAAAATGGAAAATAAGACCTTTACAGCTATGCAATCTTCTTTTAAAATTACCTACTGTACCTTATTATCTGAAAGATAAACAAGTTAATGAATCACAAATGTTCTCTTTTGAAACAGGAAACAGAACATTTAAGATAAGGAAACAAAAATCCTTGGCTGCTGAGTGAACTGTAGTATCAGGACAAAAATGCCCAGTAGATCTATAGAACACATTTTTCTTTTTCTTTCTTTGCTCTCTCTTTCCTTCCTTCCTTCCTTTCTTCCTTCCTCCCTTCTTTCCTTCTTGGAGACATGATTTCTCTGGCTATCCAGGATCTCATTCTGTAGACTTGGCTGGGCTCAAAGTCACAGAAATCTACCTGCTTCTGTTCACAGTGCTGGGATAAATAGGTATGTGCCACCAATGCCACTCATTACACATTCTTATTGGACTAGGAGAATCTAAGATTCCAAGAAAAATGGCCCCCAGAAGAAAATGAAGGAGGAGTCCAAGAATATCTATGGTTATTTCAGGAGACCTGAATTTGGTTCCCCTTACAGACTATGTTAGGGATCTGATGCTTGTGGCCTCCAAAGGTACCTGCACTTGTGTGCACATATCTACAATCAAGTTACACACATGCACATAATTAAAATAAAAAAATAGAAGAGGAAAAATCTGGCAGTAGGCACACACATACCTATGAACCTAGCAATTAGGAGACTGAGTACCTCAGTAAGTTCCAGGTCACCCTGAATTACAATACAAGACACTCTCAAAAAATAAATAACAATAATAATAATAATAGAATTGTAAATGAACAAATTAGCCAAGGCAGTTGAGTGATTGACATTTCCATTGAGATAGATTACAAATATCCATTACAGGAAGCCAAGTAGTAAAAAAATAAAACGTCGGGCAACTCAGGATATATAGTCAAGACAGACAGAGAGGAGGGTGAGGATAAAAGGTAAGTTGTCCCTTTACATTACCCAAGAACTCCTCCCTCCTCTAGGACCCCAATTGGTAATCTGTTAACTCTTACTGCAGTCTTTATTGTGAGGAATCCTGTTAGCCGATGTCTCCTGTGAGAGTAAAAATTCTGACTGCCTTCTCTCACGGGAGAAGACAGATGGAAGAACACACTTTTAAATCCTTTATGGGAGTCTGCAGGGGAGACTTCCTGCTCTAAGAAGTTTACTCGTTCACTACACAACTCCACACATGGTTCATTCGTGAGGTGCCCAGAACATCAAAGGCTATATTCATATCTAAAAGAATATCTGTAGTCTACAAACCTGATGCACGCTTTCCTGAAGTTGATAATTTTCATTCAAGGTATCTGTTATTACTCCTTTAAGTCGTTCTTTATTTATTTCAAATATTCTTAGTATGGTTTTGGCCTAAGTAATAGAAATACACCGTTTAAAACAATTTAACAGAAAGCCCCCCTGATTATGTCTTTTCTGAAGAACATAAAATGTAAGCAAAGGCCAAAACATTCCACTATTTACAGCAGAGGAAGTATCAACACTACTTTGATACACTCATTTGCCACATGACTTTGAACAAATTATTGAATCTTCCATGTACAATTCAGACAATTTTGTTAACTACTGAAATAGAAAAGAACAATTATTAGTTACAGAATTACTGGTTTATTTAGCGGCTTACTTAAAACACTGCTTTACTGCCTATTTGCCAAACATGCTTCACTTGCTACCAGGAAGGGAATAACCTGTAGAAATAGCTGAAAGAATGGGTTGTCACCCTTAGCAACCTGCTACTGCCATGTACACTTTAGAAAAATTTGCTTGCTTGCCTGCCCACTTTGTGATTTTAAAAAAAAGAAACTCTAACCAGAATTGAAGGCTTTCTGGAGGTCTCATGAGGACAGTCCACTGGTGACCTCTCTCTTCCATGCTCACTAGTGCAGGAGCAGATATTAGAGAAAGACCCCACACTCCTTACTCTTTGTCTCATGACCTAAACTTTATATGGCAGGAAGCAAATCTATTTATTATCGATACATGTTACACAACTTCAAGAGTGCTCAGATACATTCCTAGGTTAAATATATCCAGAGGAAAATGAATTTCAATCAAAGTAACACATTAAAACAAATGCATATTTAAGCTTGGCTTAATACTAACAATATATTATTACCTAATGTGATGGCTATGTTTGGTTATCAACGATAACTGGAATTAACTAAAACCCAAGGAAGCTGTGAGTACTGTTTCTAAATTAAATCATTTCAAGTGGCAAGACCCAAATTTAATCTGGATCTTTTGAGGTGGGAAGATCCACCTATATTCGGGGCTATACCTTCTGGCAGCAGCCTATCTAAAGGACATGGAAGGAGGAAGCTTGCTGGTCCTCACCCTCACTGGCATTACAGCCTACTTCTTTGGTATTCCAGTGTATACTGAGTATCAGGTGAGACATCCAGCCTCATGGACTGAGAAAGTGCTGGATTCTTGGACTCTCTGTTGGTAGACTGACATTGCTGGACTGAGTGGAACACAGCCTGGAAATCGCTTTAATAAATACCCGATATGTTCTGTTCCTCTAAAAAAAACTCTGACAAATATACCCAATAATAATATGAAACATAAATGGTCTTCAGAAGTGACAGGCCAATTTATTTCAACTTAACTTACTTCAGCTAGCTGTGATTTGACAGACTGTGATTCATCTGCTAGAGACTGCATCATTTTTGAAAGGTCACTCATCTGAAAAGACAGTATCAGTCAGTAAGTATTTAATAAGTCCATTTTGCTCCAAGACAACATGCATTAGTTAGGTACATTGTTAGTTTACTGTTAATAAAAGGGAGATGCCAGATGAGGAGGCCTTGTCAGCTTGCATTCCAAGTGCTCACAAGGATTTTACAAATTATGTAATCACATGATGTCCTTACAAATGCAATACATCATGGAACTTTTCAGGTTTAAGGTGAACCCACTAATTTAAATAATCGGACACACATCAAGATTTTGCTTAATCCAGAATTTAAAGTAAAATAAAAGATATATATATATATATATATGTATATATATATATATATATGTATATATATATATGTATATATTTTTCACTATGAACATTCAAGTTATATTCTTTATGGTTACTTGCAACGTAAATATTGAAATTTTCCATTTAAAATAACAAGCGAGCCAAGTGTGGGGGTGCACACTTGTAATCCCAGCTCTTAAGAGGCACAGGCAGGAAGGTAATGAGTTTGAGGCCAGCCTCACTTATACATACAGGGCTATATTCTAAGACTATGTCAATAAATATAAACAAGAACACAGGAATATGCACAAGCCACTCATCATAACATCTAAAAAGTAAAAGTTTGATGGGAGGTGTTGGCACATGCCTTTAATCCCAGAAAACAGGAGGTAGAGGGAGGTGGATCTTTGTGAGTTCCAGGCCAGCCTGGTCTGCATAGTGAGTTTCACAACAGCCAGAGCTATTGTACAGAGAAATCCTGTCTTGAAAAAACAAAACATAACAACAAATAAACAAAAGAGGTGAAAAGATCAGATCAGATGTGAAAAATTTTGTTCTCATATTATTCTACATCATTTTTTTTCTTTTGATTTTTCAAGACAGGGTTTTTCTGTGTCACTTTGGAACCTTCCTGGAACTCGTTCAGTAGAGCAAGCTGGCCTCAAACTCCCAGAGATCTGCCTGCCTCTGCCTCCAGAGTGCTAAGATTAAAGGCATTTGTCAAGAATGCCCAGCCTGCATTCCATTTTTTACATACATGAGTTTCTTTACATTTTTGAAGATAGTATATCCTCTCTCTGTTCAGGGCAGGACAGCTTGGAACTGTTGTTTTTTCCTACCAAGTGCTGGTATTATAAGTTTGTACCACTTTGGTTGGCTCACATATAATATTTTAATCAATATTTAATTTATATGTAAGATTCATAATTCTCTTGGAATATATAAGACTCACCAATTCCTCTTCCTCATAATGTTTAGCTCTCTCTTCTTCTAGTTTCTTCTCTATAAGTAATATTTCTTCTTCAAGTTTAGATTTATCTCTTTCTAGATTTTTATAAGTTGCCTAAAATAGAAAGCTAACTTTAAACAAGCCAAACATAAGAATTTTTTGTTAGGGTAAAAATCAGATGAGTATAGGGTAAAAATCAGATGAGTATGCTCAAATTAATAAACACTTTACACATTTTTTCATTTCTCAAATATTAAAATAACAGCAGATTTATCAGTTGCCAGCAACTTCTATAAAAAAAAAAAGTGTAAGTATTTTAGGTGCCCACCAGTTAACCATGGCAAACAATGAATACCCCCTGAAGGAATTAAAACAGTTGTATTCCAAAAACACTTTTATGTAAAAATAAAGAAAAATTAATGAGTTTATTTGGAGTCTAAACTCCCTGTGGATTCTACAAGGGCATTCTACATCATAAGACACAGACTTGCTACTCAGGACAGAGGATGACAGAACTGCCATTCTGGACTGAACACATAATCAAAGGGACAAAGTTTTTTTCTGTTTTATCATTGGGAGGAGCAGGCTATTTCTATTTACTATACAGGCTCACAACTCAGTTTTAATAACCGTTCCACTTGCAAAGAGTATTGAGGCACTTCATCACATCATACTCTGTCTGTTAGGACGAGTCATTGTGTCCTCTGAATCAGGAGAGTTAACTGTCCATCTCTCCTAAACTCTCCATTCTGTGAAATCATGGTTATGGACTGAAAACTGGCTGTGATGGAGTGTGTAGACAAGGGTTGATGCACAGAAAGGGATTAAATATTTATCACCATGCTCTTTACAATGTAAACCTCTGGTCTAATTTTAGTAAATGTCTACTACCATGGTAAGAAAAAATAATATGGTTACAACTTACTTGTCTGCTACTATGCTTAAATTTGTGAGAGTTCTATGTCTCTTTCCTGGAGCAAACTATGTCAAAAGTAGGAATTGTCTTTCCAATCCTTTCACCGGAGTACAGAATGCAGAATTTTTTTCTTTCTATAAATCTATAGCTTCTGATAAACTGATTTTATATCACTCAAAACAAGTTAATGACAAGAGTTGAAACTGTTATATTTTAAAATATTTTATGCTACCTACAAATATTCTGTTTCCACTCACTTTTTCTGTACATTGTAAGATCCAGATACACAATTTCATATTTCTCTGACATAATTATTTTTGAGGAGACAAGATATTTCTAATAAGAATCTTTTCCCTAGCTTTTATATCATATTTTTTTTTACCTTCAAACTCTGTACTTCTGTTGATGCCTTGTCAAAGTTGTCCTCCTTTAAGGATGACTCTAAGCCTTCATACTGAATGAAACAAGGGAACACGTGAGGAAAAAAATATAAATTTTATCTCAACTTGTATCTAAATAGACACCAAAGAAGGAAACAGAATTTATATCCACCATGTAAAGTACCCTTGGATTTTCTGAGCTTAGTTTTGCAATCTAAACACTGTGCTGAGGAAAGCCAGGTCTACAAACAAGCCACAACCATCAGCCTAGGCAACATATGGCAGAACGTTTCCATTGTGACTAGCAAAGTTGCCCCACATCTGCTGGGGCTGAAAACCCTAACAGCAAGTGTGACTAAAGTGTATCTAAAGAAGTGAGTCATCTACTATCCCCTGAACGGATTAATGGCTTCTCCAGTCTGTCAGTAGAACAATATGTGGTAACTGGCTATCAGACATTTATATCATGTGATAAATAAGGCAAGTAAGGAAGATAAAATCTGTGAGTTGCAGACCACCCTGGTCTACAGAGTGAGTTTCAGGACAGCCAGTGATGCACAGAGAAACCCTGTCTCCTATATCTCAGCACCTCAGAATTTGTGTTATTTAGAGACAAAGCCTTTGAATACAGGTAGGTTAAAATGAGGGATTTAAGATGACCGCAACGTAATATGACTGATATCCTATGAGGAGAGCACTAGGACAGAGAAAGACACAACAAGCAGACAGTACTATCTAAAGTCAAGGGACAGGTCAGAGAGGAAGCAAAGCCTGGCTATATCTCCATGGACTCGTTTCAAGAACTGTAAGAAAATTCACTTCTGCTGCTAAAGGTATTTTGTCACAGTAGCCCTAGCCCTAGCATGTCCAAATGAAAACAGTAAAAAAAGTCTCTACATGATAACAAGTAAAAGTACCTTTACATCCTTGATAAGCAAAAAAATCTCATGAAACATTACACTACATTAAATTGTAATTCAAATCCTCTACCTTCTAAGACACCAAACAAAACAGAAATGTAAGCCACAGAGTAGAAGAGATTTACAATCCATATATCTGAAAAAAAAAAACTCTTATATATGACATAAAATAGTAAAAGCAAAGGCCCTAATCTATATGGCATAAACTGAGAGAGATTACGAGTGCATTTAAAAGGATGGAAATGGGCAAGTGAGATGGCTCAGTAAGTAGTTAAGGAGCTTGCTGCCAAGACTGATAACCTGAGTTCAATCCCAGGGACCCAAGTAGTAAAAAGAGGAAAGTGACTCCTCCATGTCCTATGATCCTATGATCACCACACAAATGCCTTCTTGGTACACACCTACACACATAGACACAAATAGACACACACAATAAAAACAAAGTCATCTTTTAAGGTGGATAAGACATAAAAGGCAATTTTACAATATCTAAATGAGCAATAAGCAAATCAAGGTGCTCTGACTAATTAGTCAGGGAAGGTAAACACTACACATCACCAGGGTGGCTGCAAAGAGAATGGCTAAGTGATGAAGTTGAGCAGCAACAGAGCTCTGGTCTGAAACAAAGCTCTGATGGCAGACAATAACCCATGGAGAACAATTAAGCTCCACACTGTGATGGGTGGTATTTTCAAACACATCTTACCTCCTCTTGAGCAAGGCACACTTTGTCAATTAGATCACATTTCTTTTTGATTTCCATTGCAAGTTCCACAGCCAGTCTATTCTCTCTTACTGAGCAAGCAAAGGAAAGATTATTATGACTAAAGTGTGAAAACACTTTAAATTAGATACAATCACAAGATCTAAAATCAAAAAAGACTACTTACTCAAATAAAGTCGGCTTTGAATCTGAAATATAAATTTAACAAAATTACATTAAAACAAATATATCTTCAAGCAAATCTATCTGACTTCTACTTCCAGCTTTAAGACGCCAACTTTCTTATGGCCTTATGGTAAATAAATTACCCAAAAGCCTTCTATTTCAAATGAAAACAATGCTATATAGTAAGGTCTCCCATTGTGTGGTATCATGTGTGTTATTATATTAAAGGCTCTGAAACAGTCTCATTCTAAAGAAAACTGTATAATTACACTTAACCCCATGTTTCCCATGCATATATTGGCTCTAACACAAAGTATTTTAAGGAGCCACCATTATTAAATCTCCTACGGTTAATAATCAAAATAAAAATATATGAAATATCATTGGACTCTAGACCTTGACTGACTAAAAAACTCATTAGTCTTTTTCTTCTTCATACTTCAGCTTTCGATGAGGAAGGGATAAATCCACCCTTGAGAACAGTGGGGATAGGGTAAAGTGGTCAAGGGACGCAAACAAGAACACTCATGCCACCTAGAAAACAGAGACAGAAAACTGGAAGAAAAAAAATTGACAAAAAAACAGTGGGATATATGTAAGCAGAAGGTAAGGAAGAAAAAACCATGAAGATATTAGAAATGAAGTCAGTCAGAAGCACAAAGGCCAACATCTAAAAAGAAGTCTCAGAAAGAAAAGGCTATGTTATGACTCCCTCCTTAAAAACAGTTAGCATAGGAAAAAGCAATATAGGATCCAGGAGAGCCATGAAAGTAGCGATTTTTACTCTTAGTTGGGAAGTAGATACAGCTGCAAACTTTTTAATATTGTTAAAAACAAACACAGACACCCCAAATTTAAAGAAGAAAAGGGAAAGAAAGAAAGTTGAGGCTTTAGTACTAGTGTGTAGTATCCCTACAATAAAATCCTTTAAAATATACTTACATAAAAATATTTCTGTTAATCCCTGTTCAGTTTTTAAAAACCACCTGTTAGCATAACGCAGAACACTAAGACCTAACTCATTTCCCTGAAATAACAAGTTTCTCCAATTAGTTGTTCAGTCTAAACACAAAATGAAGGTTAGAGAGAAATGGCTCAGAGCATTTGTTAGTCTTGCAGAGGACCAAGATTCAATGCCATCATCGACATTATAGCTCACAGTCATCAGTAATTCCAGCTCCAGGGCATCCAACAATGGCCCACTAATCACTTCTGTAGACCAGGAACACATAACACACACACATACATACAAGCAAAACAGTCATACACATAAAAGGAAATAAACTAAAAAACAAAAACAAAAAACCTAGAATGACCATTCACTTATTATAAGTGGCTACTTACTGATCGGTATCCTCTCCAAAGAAATAAGAAAATGGTAAGCAGTACAATGGCAACCACACATATCAGCGATTCTAATGATGGCTCACTAGGATCAAAGCTTGTTGTCATATCTTCAGGCACTGCTGCCACAACCTTCGAGACAAAGAAAATAAACCTATAAGCATGCTTCTTCAACAGTACTGGTACAAAGACAGGCGCAGTTGGCTGTGGCCAACTCTATTCATATTGAATGGGCTACCATAAAATACAAAGCAGAATGCCTCCAAACATGTTTTCTAGTAAATTACAATTGTTCTTATTGAGGGGCTAAGTGTGGTGAAACAGTAGTTTTCAAACAGAAGTTATGGGGAGATTCCACAGAGCATAACTCCAGGAGAGTTGAAGGACAAGGATATAGTATGAAGAAAAGAACATTGTGGAATATTTTATATGTGTTTCATTCTTTTACGTTGCATTTGTTTAACTCTGTAAAGCTGCATTACTTTGCCTGTCTAAAACACCTGATTGGCCTAATGAAGAGCTGGACAGACCAATAGCTAGGCAGGAAAAAATAGGCAGGGCTGGCTGGCATGCAGAGAGAATAAATAGGAGGAGAGACCTAGAGAAGATCCAGGGACAAGAGGAGGAGGACACCAAGGGCACCAGTCACAGAGTAAGAAGGAAAGCAAGGCATATAGAATAAATAAAGGGAAAAGAGCTCAGAGGCAACACATAAAGAGAAATGGGATAATTTAATTTAGAAAAGCTGGCTAGAAAAAAGCTGAGCTAAGACCAGCCATTCGTAAGTAAGAATAAATCTCCATGTATTTATTTAGGAGATGGGTGAGGTACACCATCCCTACCAAAGATTTTTAACATCCAGTAAAAAAAAAAAAAGTATCAATGATCTGGATTGGGTTCTTTTCCCTGAGTTTAAGTTCATGATTTATCCATATGCACTGGGTTTGAAATAACATTTCCTGCAGAGGAAAAACACTTATCTGCAGCTTGTCCTCTAAGGAAGGGAGAGTGACAAGAAACAACTGACAGAGCTTCAGAGTTGGGATTTAAACCCTTCCTTCCTGTCTCTTGAGTTAAATTAATGCAGTTGGAGCCCAAAAAGAAAATGGCTCTTTCAAAAACAACCCTAGAAATGATGGGCTTGACTCTTTCCAGGCATCAACATACACCATCTAGAAACTCCACAGCTGTCTTCTCCTTGGGGTCTGACAAAATGAACAACAAATCCTTAGATAATTACTATCTATAAAACCTGTTTTATGCTAGTACATGACAAGGACCTTTTACAAGCCGATATCTACAGCTTCTACCAAAAAAAAAAAAATATATATATATATATATATAATGCAATAGTATCCTCTTTTTTTATTCCCTGTATCTTTATTTTCCTTTTTACATCTGTGACTCCAGAAAGGATCCAAAGTGTAGGTGCACAGCCTCTGCTCTGGGTTTCATGGAGAGTTCCTTTAATCTTGTGTTTTAGATCCTTCAGGTACAGGACTGACCTTACAAGGGCTCAGAAAAGGGTTAAAAATATTTTATCCTGGTCCTGTCTCTTTCTCACCTGAGCCACATACACAAAAGTGTGATATCATGTTGCAAGGCAATGATAACAATGATTTTCCTCTAGGATCACAAGAACAGATATTCAGGCATGGCAAATATTTCGATTATCTCTCTCCAAAGACTATGAATGTATAACCAAGCCCTCCACATACCCTCTAAAATATTCTTCCACATCTCACAGAGTAATTAATTGCATATATTACCTCTTCCTGAATCCATCTTCCCTCAGTGGGTTATTCTAGTCTTTATCACCAGGCCCCAATACTAACTGATCATAAACAAGTAGATTGACTCCTCTGATAGCAGATAAAAAAGTCTAAGACTAAAACTGTTACTAGACACAAAGATGTGATGGAAAAGGCTAGCTCAGTCTTTAAGTTGTAGGATTTTATGCAAGAGAACCACAAAAATGAAGTAAAATCTGTTGAAGTAAGGATAAAACAAACCGTTCATCAACAGTAGTTATTTTTAGATCTCACTTTCAGTGAGTCAGCATGAAAAGAGAACAAGGTAAAAACACTACAAATAAGTTAGACTATCATACTAGCAAAATACTATGCAATAATAGCAGAAAATACATTCCACTCTCAAATGTACATGGAAGATTCTTCAGAAAAAATCCAGGCACTAAGCTAAAACACACCTCAATGGTTTCTTTGTTTGTTTTTTGTTTTGTTTCTTTAAATAATCAAATCACAGGGCCAAGCCCAGAGAAATGGCTCAGCAGCTGAAAACATTTGCTGCTCTTGCAGAGGAGCAGACTTCAGTTCCCAGAATCCATGTCAAGAAGTCCCTAAGTGCCTGCCCATGACTCCAGCTCTGTGAGATCTGATGCCCTCTTGCTGCTTCTTTGGGCAGCTGAAGCTTACAAGCACATACACACACATACAAATAGTTTAAAATAGTAAAAATTCAATTAAAAAATTCCCATGTCAAGAAGCATCTTCTCTGATTACAACGGGTTAAAATTAGTTATCAAAAAAAACAGGAAGAGCTGCAGAGAGAGCTCAGCAGTTAAGAGCATTTGTCATTCTTGTAGATAAATGACCCATGTTTGGTTCCCAGGATCCACTTGGTGGCTCACCACTATCTATGACTCCATTTCCAGGTTTCTTTAAGCACAGCAAACATGTGACACATGAACATACATGCAAGAGCAAAACATCCATGAACATAAAAGGTTTTTTTTTCAAATAATCAAATGCAACACAAAACAACTAATTCAGTGAGTAACAGGAAAATTTATAGTCATAAAAGACTTTGTAAAAAAATATGTGGGGGCAAGGGCTGGAGAGATCTCACAATGGTTAAAAACATTAGCTAGTTGTCAAGAGGTTCTGAGTTCAGTTCCTAGCATCCACATGGTAGCTCACAACCATCTGCAATGAGGTGCCCTCTTCTGGCCTGCAGGGATATAAGGAGAAAGAACACACTATATATAATAAATAAATCTAAATAAAAATTTTAAATATTATTGGGCCAGGAAGATAGCTCAGCAGGTAAAAACTTTGCCAACAATCCTCAGGACCTGTGTTTGACCCCCATCACCAATGTGGTAGAAGGATAAAACCGACTCTTGGGGCTTTGGATTTACACACACACACACACACACACACACACACACACACACACACACCATATATACACAGAGAGGAATGTAATGTTCAGTTAAAAAAACCAATGTCATAATCCACAGTAAAAGAAATGAAGAAAAAGAAGATCTCAACAGATAGTAATAAAATATGTAAGAAAATCAACCTTCTAATCATCAGGAGACTGCAAACTAGGACTACTTTTCTCAATCTGACAAACAGCACCAATAGAAAACTCACAGCTAACACCATCCTGAAGGGGATAGAACTGTTCCCTTACAAAATGCAACACACATCCACACAGCCCACTGAACCACAGAAAACCCAGCCAAGTCTGCAAAATCCTTCCATGTTCCTCACCCACAACCTTATCAAAAATAAGTGTTGGTAACTGCTAGGTGCCTGTGTATTTTATGTGAAAAGCCAGAGGCTGCTGTGGTAATGTCTTCCTTTTCTACCTCAATTTTTCTAAGGCAGATTCTCTGACTCAATCTAGAGCTCACACATTCTCAGATAGACTGATTACCAGTGAACCTGGGATTCCTCTATTCACACCTCCACCCAGCATTTACATTGCTTTAAGGGCTCCAACTCCAGAGCATGGCAAGCACTTTCCTTTCCGAACTGAGCCATCTCCCTAGGCCCTAATTGTGGATTCTGAGGGAGATGTGTGTGATCTGAAATCATCTCTCATCTACAATATGCTTCTCTTCCCATAAGCCCCATCTCAGTAACTTAACTGACACAGCCAGGAATTTGGGATTATTCTAGATTCTCCACACATCCCACCCCTCTCTACAGCTAATCAAGAAAGTCACACTCATTTTAGCTCTTATTTCTTCTTGCCCCATTTGGGACCGACTTCTCTATCCTTACCCCTATCAATTCTCCTTCCTGTGTTTTTTTTCCATGACATTTGATTCTCATACTATCAGGAATATGTATACATTTTTTCTATGGGTCTCACCACTGATGAGCCTGTGCTGGATCTCACACCCCACACCAATCCTTGAGACCCACTGGTCTACAGTAAGCATCATTTCACATCAGGCCCTTGGCTCACTTATGCTGTGAGCTCCTGTCAATGCTGTTTTCACACCTCATCTACTGAAACTTATTTGCTCAGTCTAAAGACTTTCCCAGCAACCCAAGGAAAAATAATCACTCCCTTCCCTTGTTTTGCATGTGTACTTCTATAGGCAATAGACTTCAACTGTGGATTAATTTTGTGTATTTTCTCCCCAAACAGCCAACATGATGAAAATGACCAAAATCCTAATTTCATTTAGAACCTCCATAGAGCATTTTTATTCATGAGCACGGCACTACTTACTTTAAATTCACAGAACATGAAGATAATTAGAACTGGCAGCAGCTCAAAAATCCTCCATGGGCACACCACGGTGGCAGTACGAGGCACCGCCATCCCTGTGCCCACGATGCGGGGCCTTGCAGCTGGACAGATGGACAGCAGCAGAGCAGAGCACAGTCAGGGGGGCACTGGGAAAGGGAAGGGTTCTGGGGCCGGCTGGCACCACTGCCCTCTCCACCTCCTTATCTCAGTTGACGCGTCAACACTGGCACTCTGACCTCCAGCACCAGAGTCCTGGAGAGCTGGAGCAAGAGAAGCTGAAGCACCCAGTGTGGGGCTGCAGGCCTACACTCCGAGGCCTGGGGCACAGCCCCGGAGTAAAAGCTCAGCCCCCTATCCCCAGCTACTATCGCACTCTGTCCTATCAAGTCAAAAAAACACTTTTCTATGGAACACTAAAAGCTGAAACACCAAGTTTGGGGCTACAGCCCTACACTCCGAGGGCTGGGGCACAGCCCCAGAGTGAAAGCTCAGCCCCCAAGTTACAGCTACTATCACACTCTGTCCTATCCTCTACAGTCCAAAAGCCACACTGTAGTAGCTAGGCGGAAACTCTCCTACGCAGAGACGTCATCCTCTGTCATAATCAGTGTCAGAAAACGGCCTCTGACGTAAGAGACGATGACGCATTCACACTTCGAACTCACTGTGATCAGCCCAGTTATACCACTTGACTCCTAAGAAATATCCCTTCTTGACTCGGAATTAATAGCAGTGGTGTGTGTGTGTGTGTGTGTGTGTGCTAATTCCTGAGTGTGTGTGTGTGTGTGCTAATTCTTGAAGACATTCTGCTCAGCACTCCCCTATTTAGCATCCTATTTGTAGGCCTCATGAAATAAGCTGATGCTTTTGTGTATCTCAAATGTAGGACCTGAGAGTCACTGCTCTGAAATGTCTTTTTATTTTTCAGGGTCAGGTCTCATTTCATTGCTCCATGTGCTTCCATATAATGACTGCTTTGAATTTACTCCAAGAAAACTATGTAGGAACTTGGCAAAGTATGTTGGAAAAGAAAAACAAAAACAAACAAACAAACAAAACTGACCATCTAAAGTTTTTAAGCAATAGAAATTTGGTTTGTTTTTCCCTAAGTTACCTTCAGGGTGATTGAACAGAAGAATCAACTGATAAGTATTAATTGCCCTCAAGGAAGTTCTGGGAGCTACCTGTGTTTGCTGTACCCAATGAACCACACCAAGTTGCAAAACTAGGTACCACCTGTACTTGCCCAAATTCAGTTTATCACTTTGGACCATGTGGTTTTAGGGCAGAGCTGACTGGTGTGGGGTTTTGGCCCCAACTAAGCTTTCTTACATGCAGAATAAGCCTGAAACTCCAGTGCATGTGTGCTGTAGGCCAGCAGTGACACTGTTCAAATACACTAAGCAGAAAATGTCAACATGGCATATTGGCAAGGTAGTGAAGAAGAGACTGAGATCCTTTATAATTTGGATCTGGTTGCATTCTTGATGACTCCTTTTCATAGTTTTCTTAGTAGAATTTTTTTTTGTTTGTTTCTTGGAACACGTTTTTATGAGGCTGCCTGGGAACCTGCTCTTATACACCAGGCAGGTCTTGGACTCAGAGATCTGCATACCTCAGCCTCAAAGGCTGGGATTAAAAGCCTGCAACACTCCTGACTGATTCTTAATAGATTTTCAATAGCTGTTATAATCCTTTAGTTTGGAGATGGAGACATGATGATATATACCACAAAAGGTTATTCTTTATTAGTAGTTTTTGGTATTACCCCGAGGGAGTATTCATTTACGTTAAAATACAAGCTCTGTTGACCTCCATATTTTCTGCTTTGAATTCCCATCTCCAATCTGTTACTCCATCCCAAGAATTGCACTACTAACTTCTTTATTGTTTTCACTTCTCAGTGTTCACTTGAACATCTTATTTGAATCAGTTTCCACAAACATCAAGAGCTACACATTGAAGCACATATGACTTTTCAAATCCAGCTCCAATAATTCTTCAAAACTCTTCATAATTCTGTTATTTCCTTGGTGTGTGCTTCAGGATTATTGTTTAGAGGGGGGGCGTGATATTTGCAAATTGCTTCACAATAGTGTCTCTTATATAACAAACACTTCTCAAATGTGACCTCAATGTTCACATAAACACAAGAATATCCTCTTCTTTTTAGATGGTCTCCTGAGTCCTAGGAACACTCCACCTTTGCAATTCTTTCATTGATATACAAAACTTGTGAGCACAGCAAATGTTTAGACAGATACTGTCTTGAAGAATTAAGTGAACTCTTTCTACACTTTTAATTATTTATTTGTCAGTGTCTGTGTGGGCAGGTGAACCCTTGCCATTGTAAACATAAGGTCAGAGGCCAAATTAGGATTTGAATTGTTCTCTCCTAATTTTGAATTCTGTAAGTCTAGAAGACTTAACTTAGGTCTTTAGCTTTGACAGCAAGCATCTTTACCCACAAGGCTATCTCAAGGCCTAAAGAATCAGATCATAAGAATTTGATTTATTATTTTTATTTGATCAGTCAAATGAACAAATTTAAGTGAAATGAAGAAACAATAGAATTATTTTTCCTATTTTCCTTGTCTGTTTTGCTGTGTGTGTGTGTGTGTGTGTACGAGCATGCTACAGAAAGGATCAAGAACCATGTGTGTTTTAACATGAACTGCACTCACAGCTATGTTTTATTACTGTACTATCTAGGGATGATATTCTTTTCCTTTTTGCACTCTCTGGGATGGTAAATTGCCTACATAGACACTTAGCTATACTCAATATCTGGATTTCTTACCAACCATAATATAAATAGTAAGGGCCTGTAATGGAGGGTGGATGTCAATATAACCATATTCTAACTAGTTTGGAGAAAAGCCTCAATGTCAGGATCAAAATATTTGAAGTTTTTTCATTTATGTTAGTTGCATGTCTTGCATGAGTAGAATGAAGTTATACTCTTTTCGTGAGTGACCACTGAGTAGGGTCATTTTGTCAGTGAGATGAAGAAATTCAGACTGCCACATGAGAGATTTGCTTTCCATGTATTGTGAAAGAAAACAAATTTAAAACAACCAGAAATTAACCAAGTGGCACGTAGGGTTTTTTCCCTTAACCACTCAGTGTCTGGTGTTCACATACACGGCTGCCCTTTAATTTGTGGTCCTTTGAAGTGAGTTGAGGGACAACTAAAAAGGAGAAGTTGGATAACATTCAGCAGATGACCCCAGGACAGAAAAGTTGCTTTCTTGTGATTAAATCCATAATGACAAACACACCTGTGTAGTTCTGTGCTGTGACTTTGCTGTGTTTACTTCCCCCACCTCCCTGTCAGGGCTAAGTCAGTGTGCTGTAATCTAACCGAGATCAGTTCTCAGCTTCTTTTTGAAATGATCTGTCCAGTCATAAGGAGTTAGTTTTCCTACTAATTCAATAACTATATTCTTCAATAGGATTTTAATTTCAAACCATTGGAATAACTTATTTTTTTCTACCTCCATGTGAATGTGGGGTATCAATGACTTCATTAGACCCAAGATAAATGATAAACAGGTGTTTCATCAGTGAACAACTTATACAGATAATAGTAAAGAACCCCTGAAACAGTCCTGCTTCAGAAGATGCAGTCTCTGCCCTTCTGATGCTCTCCAAGAACCTGAGAAAGTACCCACCCCTACCCCCACTTCTCTCCCTTCAGGTAAAGGTAATTATCTTTATTCATAGTAAGAGGTAAGTATAATTTTAAAAGTGAGTTACATATCAGAAGTAGACATAATCACAGGCATACGGATACACAATCTGTTTGTTCCGTTGGCACTGTAATTTAGAAAATTAAACATGGGTACAAGATAAAGTTCACATTCCTGAAGGCAATTTAACTAGAGCATTTTCTCTGTTGGCTACACTCTTGTCCATAGATCACATGCCATGTCAGGTCTCTTCACTCTTGTGATTAAAGAAAGCTCTGATGTAGACTGACCAAAGACTATGTGCCTGAAATAGAACTAGAACTATATCTTAGAAGCACCATACCACTCCAGGTGAGCCATCATCTTCTGAAATACTCTTAGGTGTCCAGAAACTGTCATTCCTCCCTTAGAGCAGAATCCCAAAGACCTAACTGAGTGTTGGTTGAAAGCATGCTGAATCTAGTTCAACAGTCCATTACCCATTGGTAGGTAAGGTACACAGTAAGCAGTGGATTTCTTTCTTTGGGTATTTGTGTGACAGGGGCTCTTGTAGCCTAGGCTGGCCACAAACTTATTATATAACTCAAGACTTCCTGGAACTTTGGGCCTTCCTGCCTCTACTTCGCCAATTCTGGTATTGTAGGAATGAACCACTATTTATATCTGGTAGGCGTGGTGGTGGGTGTGCATTATTCCTAGAGCTTCCTGCATGTTAGATAAGTACTCTACTAGCTGAGCTGAGTACATGTCCTTTTAGACAGCATTGTTTGTGTTGCTGTATTGTTTAACTTTTAAACTCTTCCCAGACTGCTCTCTCTGTTTACAGCTCAGTTTTAAGTATACATATATAAGTATATATTGAAACTATATCAATTACTGAAATTTCAAACATTATTAATTTCACACGATGTGGGATCTAATGTAATTTTTCCCTCAGTGCACTGAAAAATCTAATAGTTGTTAAGGCAGTAATATTTCAGTAAACTAAATCGCTACAACAGCCCAGTTCACAAATAAGAACGCTTGATGCCAAGATGAGTTTCATTTCAGAGTGTGACATTCTGAAGAGTGTGCAAGTAGTCAGGGAATGATCCAGTGGACAGTCTCCTTAAGTTCCACGGATCTAAACTGAAGCTGCTTCTGAGATGTGATATGATGAAAGGAAGGTACTGCAAAGATGGGATGGGGTTCTTCTCCTGTAGGTAGATCTGGCTGGGATCATGTTCCTCTGCCTCACTGAGCTTCTGTCCTTCCACAGTAACTTATATTTACAGAGGTGATTTGTAAGTAGGTTTCTGTGGCTTTTTAAGTGGAATAAGGCAAGTATGTTAGTTAGGTTATGATCACACACTAAATAAGTTTC